CTTATCCACTCCTGAAGCAATTGCATAGTGAGCTACGCGTGCCGGATCTCTTGGATTCCGATCCAAATAAATCCGTTAAAGATTTGGCTGGACACCAGGACATGTGGTATTATAATAGCGCGTATGGTGAGTAGTGAGTAGTGAGTGTAATGAGTGTAATGAGTGGAAAATGGTGAATGGCAATCGAGAAAGGCAGGAAGTTAGTGGCCGGTATCGTACAGAAAAGCACTCACTCGTGGTAGACAGTCTCTGTGTTTGATTGTGCCACGCAGCAGCCTCTTTAAAAGCATCAACATATTCTCTTACATTTAAAGCCGGTATTGGTGACGGTGTGGCGGAATTGGGCTGTGGTGTGTTTGAGCTGCACATGAAGAACTGGCTTCACTTTTTTGGCGTGTGATCTTACTAAAGGCATGATTATCTCTTTATTTTAATTCTTTTAGGTAAGCGCAATGTATAAATGTGAATGTAGGGGCTTTGACACGCTTTCCCTTGTCTAATCGATGTTAAGAAGCCTTTCTTTTTTCAATTGAATGCCTGTAGGAGGATGAATGAAATGATGAAGACTAAAGAAAGTAGGAAAAAACACTTTTTTAAAAAAAGGAGAAAAATGAATACGTCTAATTGACAACATGCCTTAATTGAACACGTGTTCTCCCGCTATTCTATGAAGCATTTTTGGCCACCAACATTCAATATGTACTTTTTATTCGATCAGCAAGCTCTTGAAGCTTTGCAGGCATGTGGTCTCTTGATCCACATACTAAGAGACCAGCTACATAGGCTTGGTGAAGAATTCCACAGAGATCAGCCCTGTCCCGCTTGAAATTCTGCAGCAAAATCTGACATAGGGCTTTTGCATCTCTTTACCTTATGATCTACCAAAACGGCAGTGTGGGTAAAAGAACAAATGCTGATTAGAGTCAGAATAGCGTGCTTCGTACAGCTCCGCACAGCAACGGACACGTACAATCACGACATGCTTGTCACCAACAATCAAACATGTGCATACTACAGAAAGTTATCAGTGACAAACGCGTCGAACGGAGTTGAGCGCAACCAAATAAAAGCTCTTGTGTGCCTCGAGCAGTCTCCTACCTCTTCATTTCCTCCTTTCTCTTTCGCTCGCTTTCTCACTCTTCGATCTCCTTACTCCATTGTTCCTCAACAGAATCAAAGCCATTGAACTCTTTTTTTTTTTTTTTTTTTTTTTTTTTTTTTTTCATATCTCTTTGGTCTTATATCCTTTTATTCAATACCAAAAAAAAAAAAAAAAAGAGCCACAAACTGCAACCAGTGAGCGAGTATAACCCCGTTTATTAAAGCACACAGGGCATAAAAGTAGCGAATGACTTCTCGTCAATGTCGTTAGATATGCGCCCAGGGATGAGCTTTGTTAATTTTTACAAAATATCCATGATTCATGAACACTTACCGCGACAAACATCCCACAAAGTCACTCACAGTTGATTCTATTAGGATGTCTGTCATAAACAGCTTCCTACTTCCCACAGACGTCGACACGGTATCCAAAAGCCTACGAAAACAGTGATATTGCACAATCATCCAAGCAGTCAACCTTTAGGAAGTTGTTGTATGCACATGTCTAGAAACTGTTTAGACAGATATTTTTGATAACCGTACATATGAAGTGTGTATGAAGAATAGTAGCTGGAAAATGATAAAGAGGGATAAAGACAGAAAGAAAGTAAGAGAATGAGATAGTGAATGCATCCAGAATTGTCTGTGCATCGGTTCCTGCTTCGGGATCTCGCCAAAAACAAATTCCGGCTCAACAGGAGCAATGTGGGCATGATATCATCGGGTCTTTTTTTTTTTTTTTTTTTAGTGCATGGCCATGTCAACATGTCAACGTTGATCAGACTATTGAAAGGATAAGGAGACAAGGAGAAAAGGCAAGGAGTGATTTGGTGAACCACCTGATTACAGCTTGAGTTTCCAGAACAAGGCAGATAACAAATCCTCCCTGTGCGATGGATCCACTACATGAATACAAATAGCGGATTGTAAGATAGAATGACTGCTACACAGAAATTATATGGTATAAATAAACGAATAAAACGTATAAACAGATTGTGGGAACAAATTCAACAATTCCATTTTAGTTGGGTCGTCTAACTTTATTTCAACGAACGCTCAAAGACTAGGCGGGACCCATCTCACATCGTCAAAAAAAAACCTCCACTTTCTTTTTTTTCTTTCTTCTTTTTTTTTTTTTTTCCTCATCCATTTCATTCGTTTCCCTTCATTTATTTTACTTCTTCTTATTACTGCCATGTCTTCTGTCCAGCACAAGTTCCTTAAGCAAAAGTCTGTTGGCGTTGTTGGCGTCCCTTTCTCTGGTGGCCAGGTAAATATAAAATGCTATTTCAGTGCCAATCGCATCCTATTTAAACCAATGATGAAAGTGCTCTCCGCAGCAAACAAACATTGGATCTGATCAGCATTGATCAGACAAAACGATCAGATGAGAATGTAAAAACTCATGTGAGATGCATTCTACATCTCGAGCTGTCGAATCAATACACAACTGTATTTTCCTCTTTCTTTATACCTTTCTAATGGCAACTCACTCAATCTTTTCTGCCCCTAATTTCTTTGATAGCCTAGAGCTGGTGTTGACCTTGGTCCTCTCAAGATCATCGAGTTTGGACTCTTGGACCAACTCAAGGAACTCAACTGGCAGGTCAAGTTTGATGGCCACCGCGATTACACTGCCATGAAGCCTGCCTCTGATCCTCCAGTTGGCAAGCTCCTCAATGCTCGCCATGTTTCTGCTGTGACGGAATCTGTTGCTGAATCCGTTTCTACTCATCTCAAGGAGGGCTCCCTTGCCCTTACCTGGGTGGTGACCATTCTATCGCCCTTGGAACTGTCTCTGGAACTATGGCCGTTCCCCCAATGCCGGCTTGATCTGGGTTGATGCTCACGCTGTAAGTTGACCATTTGGAGTAATGACAAGCGTTTTTTTTTTTTTTGTAATTGTTCTCCTTTTTTTTTTTTATTGTTGGATGGAATGTGCTTTCCCAAATTACCAAAATGAACTACATCACTACATACAACCAAAAAAAAAAAAAAAAAAAAAAAAAAACCTCCAGGAACAAAGAAAAAGGTTTGAATACTCAAATAAAATTATGTACTTAAAAAATTCTAGGATTCAACACCCCCGAGAGCACTGAGAGCGGCAATATCCACGGCTGCCCTATTTCCTTCTTACTTGGAATTGCTGGACAGATCAATGAGTTTAGCTGGGTCAAGCCTTGCCTTAGCCCTGATCGCATTGTCTATATTGGTCTTCGCGATGTCGATGCTGGCGAGAAAAAGATCTTACGGGAGCATGGCATTAAGGCTTTCTCAATGCACGAGGTTGATAAGTATGGTATCTCTAAGGTTGTTGAGATGGCCATCGAACATATTTCTCCCAACCTCTCACACCCTATCCATCTCAGCTTCGACGTTGATGCTCTCGACCCTACAGTCGCCCCTTCCACTGGTATGCTGAAAAAGAATGTGCTCATTAGTCAGACGCTGGCATTAGATTGTTTACTTTTTTTTTTTTAGAGCCTTGGAGACTAATTTTTGTCTTATTAAAAATATCCAGGTACACCCGTTTCGGAGGACTGACCTTCCGTGAGGGTCATTACATCTGCGAGGCTATTCACGAGACCGGATGTTTAGTTTCAATGGATTTGATGGAGGTTAACCCTTCACTTGAGGATGATAACGCTGTCTTCCAGACCGTTACCATTGGTTGCTCTTTGGTGCTGCGCTTTGGAGAGACTCTTCTCTAAATCATTAACCTCCTTGCATCTTGTCGCCGGAACCCACAAAAAAATTGATTCAAAAGGCATTGGCATGACATCCATTTTTCCCTTGCTCCTCAATCCCGAATTTACAGTAAAAAAAAAAAAAAAGCATCAAAACATTTTAAAATTAACAAAAAGCAAAAAAAAAAAAAATACTAAAAAAAGAAAAAAGAACTCGTTTTCAACAAACCACACTTTTAAGCCTTGCAAAAAACTAGAACGGACCAAAGACGAATAGTGGCCCTTGCCTTGAATATTAAGAAGGGTCATGAGGAGGAAACTCTCTGGAGAAGGAGCAGGAGTAAACTGAACTACTTTTTACCGTTGCTTTCACCTTCAGGGGACCAAGTTGTTGGTATAAAACAGAAATATTCACAAATAAAAAATACAATTCACCTTTGAAAACCCATTGTGCACGATTGGATGTCTCAAAAGTACTGGTATTCGTTAATCATGTGGATGACAAGCACAAGAAATTCAATCTTCTTCACTATCTATATACCCCTAGATGGCTCAACGATAACTTGCCTCGGGGATTTGGGCAGCTGCTGCCTGTGCTAGTGCTTGTGCTTGTGCTTGCGCTGGTGCCTTTCCTTGCGTGTTATTGGCTATGGGTGGTCGGAACATCGGCAGCATCTACTCTTGCTTATGTATGCTGGTGCTGGTGCCAGTGTCGGTCCCCTTTCTTGCACGCTTTTTGATATAGATGCTCCAAGTGCTGGTCACGAATATCGTGTCTGTGTATGCGTCAATGCTGGTACCACCTGCTCCTGCATCCAACCAAGGATGGTTTCTTTCTTTGTCAATCGAATGAAGGAAGAGAGGGCACTCCTGCTCCTCAAATGACATTTACAGTATTTTGTGCGACAAGCACGTCCCGATGTGCAATTAGGACAGCACGGACGGCGCAGATTGGTGCAGCCAATGATCATCTACGCCAACTACAATTCTCGTAGCGTGCAAAAATATGACATCGATCCATTAAACATGTCCATGTAGTTGTGAAAGTTAAAGACCAATGTATTCAAATGAAAAGCCATTAGTGACATCCAAGAGGGGTTAAAAATAAGTGCTTTTTTCTTTTTTCTGTCACACTAAAGGTAATCCCTATTTAATCAATAGGAGAATCTTTCCCCACCAGGTCAATGCGGTTAGATTGGAGGATGTCATGGGAAAATGTCCTTTCCTTGGGCACAGTCCTGAGAGGAGGAATTAACGCTGTGGAGAGAATAAACAAAGCTACTATTGACTGCGAGCCGTTCGTCTATATCAACATACATATTTGGATAGTTGGACAGCGCTCTTGATACTTTTTCTGACAATGGAGAGTTGTAATATGGCTTGAGGATGTACAGTGGATGATGGCCTCTTTGTTTTGTTCTTGTTTCCAATTTGCTTTCAGGAACATTCAAATCTCCCATTCTTCATTACTTTAGTCACGTGACCTTCTCTTTGATCGTGTGCACAATTGAGCTCACCTCCATTGCCATTTTGTACATTACCTTTTCTTTCTTTCTATTTCGTGTCATTTTCATTCCCATGACCTCATACAAAGGGGTGCATGATTGTATTCCAACACAATCCAATAATAAACAAGAAGAAAAGCTCTTTACTTGGTTGAAATGAAATAAAAGAAACGAGTTAGACCTCATCCTGTTCCATGACAAGTGTCTTTGAAATGTTATTTTCTTTTTGGGAATAAAGCTCAGCCAGGCCAGTCAACTCCTCCTTCGCTTGCTTCGGAGGTCCACAGAGACAAGAGCACTAAAGACAGACAGACACTCCAAAACCAGACCAGGGTTGATTTGTAAACAACAGACATGAAAATATTTTTCATCTGCTTTCTTTCCTTCATCCTCACTCTTTAACTCATTTTATATTATTTATTCTCATTCTCTCCCTTCTTCGTTTGCTCTCATCCTTCACATCTCTACATCCGATCAAACCCCTCATCCTTCTTATATATTTAACAACCTCTTATTCTTCGCGTTAATCTAGGTGCTTCACGTCATCTGTTACTGTAAAAACTAGATTCTCTTTTATTTTCAGTTTCCTCTATCTCTTGTAGCACTAAATACATAAAGAGGACGCGACACGCGGGTACAGCGGGGTCAATTAACGCATAACAATGTTCAGCCTTGATATTAAAGCAAGACAAGAGCAGGCCATTACGGTCGGATGCTGTGGACTGTTAATGCTCGTATTTTATTTACAAAGTCTACTTTTTTTTTTTTTTTTTTTTTGAAGTTGTCACCCAACAGGGAAAAAAATGGCACCATCGAACACTGACGTCGACATGCGTCCCGCAACGCCACCGGGATCTGCAGAAACTTTGATCGAATCGAGCATGATTAAGGATAGGGACATGGAGGCAACTACTATCGGAGGTGACAAACATGTAAATGCTCTGCCTGTCAAAGCAAAAGAGGCCTTGGTGTTAGCGGATGAATCCAATGCTGCTAAAGTTATGGTGGATGGCAAGAATGATGAAACCACAGCTATTGTAAATATTAAAGATCCATTAGAGGTAGCTTCTGCTCTGAAGCTGCTAGGAAGGGCCACACCAGCAGGCCACAGTGGCCTCAACTGCCACCGCTACCACTGCCACCAAAATCCTTCAGAATGGTGACCACAAAATGACAAAGAGCCTGATCGGCAAAGAGAGCAGGAGACATGAAGCAAATAATGAACTTGGTGAACGGACGTGGGCGTAATCACCATAAAAACGAAAAGATTGAAGATCGAGTATCACGTCATGTCGATGATCAAGATGTAGATCATGATACCCATCAACCTTCGGATGAAAAGTACAAGCGACTCAAGCGGAAACTCAAACAAGTATTAGAGGTAAAGGCATAGATCTGAATTTATTATGTCCTTTACGGCACTTTTGTCTTGGCCTTGAAAAATCTTTTTGAAAAAGTGCACTTTTTATCTTTTATTATTATTGCTATTATTCACGACACTAAAAAGACACCGTTTTGCCCTTATTTTGAACAGGAGAATGAGCGACTGAGCATTGAATTGGGCCATTCCAATAGGGGCGCGCCAGCTGCGTCAAGAAAAAAAGTATGTTGGTTGCTTTCTCTTTGGTAACCTGAATTGAAGATTGCGCTGTGGCCAAATCATTTATTTACTTGGCTATTCACACTTTTTTTTTTTTTTTTTTTTTTTAATATACATATATATATATATATATATTGTATCTTCATTTAACTACAGCTTGCTACTGGATCTTGTGCTTATGAACGGGAGTCTGACTCGAGCCCTGATACTTTATCATCATTGAGCAGCGATAGTGATGTATCAGATTCGTCTGTTAATAGTTTCTATCAATCCAGATCTAGAAGGGCATCACCTTTACGAGCCACTTCTACAGCACCGTCATCCTCTAAAAAACAATCCAAAGTAACAGGAACCAATAAAAGTTTAGATGTGCCCTCTTCTGCACCTGCAACAACCCACCACCCTAAGAAGACAGTCAATAAAGCAGTGGCGGGCACAGGCATACGTAAACAAACTAGTGGAATTGGAAAGAAAGAAGATAGGCCTGTTTCGACACCATCGACCATCACCAATGTTGGATCAGCCACCCAGAAACCAAAGAGAATTCATAACACAACCAAATTGAGGCCTTCCTGTCTAGCAAGGTTCGCAAAGTTCAGCCTATTGAAAGAGATGAGCATGGAAATGTGAAACTACCAGTGACAGTAGGGATTATCACCATCATGGATCTCGACACGTTGTCTATGATCGAGAAGCTTTTCACAATGAACGATATATCTGGCCTGTTGGGTACAAGATGTCACGATCTTACAATAGCATGATTGATCCAACTCAGCAGACGACATACACTTGTAGCGTTATCGATGATGGCGAGGCGCCGAAGGTAAAGCACATCATCGTATATTTTGTATTTCTAAGGTCTTAAATGTTTACGATACTATAGGGGCATTTCAATTGAGCATTGTATTTCTTACTGAGATATCTATTTTCCCTTCGCCCCCAGTTTCAAATTGATGCAGAAGATCAACCAGGGAAACCCATCATTGCAGGGACGGCCACAGGGGCATGGACCCATGTCGTCAAAGCTGCGAACTCGATCCCAAGCGTGATCACTCTAATTCCGCCTCAGGCCCAGACTATTTTGGATTTTCAAACGCCACTATTGCCAAAATGATTCAGGACTTGCCTAATGCTGATAAGTGTAGTAAAACTTATATCATGCAACGATATGAAGAACCATCTACAAAATCGTCATCAGAGAAGCGCAAGGTCGCTGCTGCGTTGGGCTCGAAAAACGGCAAGGCTAGTGGCAATGGCGATGGCGAGGATGATCAACTTGAGGACGATGATGGAGGTGATGAGGGTGATGATAGTGATACATATGCGTCGCTTGGCACACCAAACAAAAAGAAATCGAGGCTCACTGAATCTCCTACTATTCGACGGGCAGGGTTTGGATCAAGAAAGGAAGAGGAAGAGATGGGTGGAGGATATCATGAGGAGGAGGAAGAAGTAGATGAGTTGGAAGAAGGTGGCGAGGAAGAAGTGGATGAGTTGGAAGGCGAAAATGATGAGACAATGTCAGATGGGGATATAGGCGATATTGGACCAGTGTCAAATATGTCCTCTCAAACCGAACCCACAACCACAATCACAACGAATTCATCAATTCCTATTACTTCGACATACATTGGCGCGAGTGTCCCCCATCAAGAAAGAGCAGAGTCGGAACTAGTTGAGATTGAGGACTCAGATATGAATATGGACTCAACAGCAATAGAGCCAAGTTCTAAGTAGACAACTTGAAATAATAGTATTACTAATAATAAAAAGTTCAAGAGAGTCATTCCTGATGGGTAAAATAGTCTAGGATTGTACTTATTGAATAGTACAGACTACACCGGTTAGCGCCAAGTAGTCTTGTGCGTGATGTATTTTGGTTTATTGGCTCCTACAACAAGCTCTCCTAATGGAAATATAAATACACGAGTACGTCAATTATATATATATACATATATATATATGTCATATACATCGTTAAATCAATGACATCTTGACAACATCCACATTAGCGGAGATTATTTTTACTTTATCCCTGATTTTTAATGGGAACCGAGAGCCATAGTCAGTATGTGGAGCAAGAGGGTCCATGAACCCTAATATTTCAACCTAAACTCAGCCGACAATTGAGCTGCACAATGTGGTCAAAAGAATCCACCTGGCATCCTCTCGATACATGTATGATAGAGCAAGTTAACAATGAGACCCCATGATGGCGCTATAGTAGAATAGGTTAATATTATGAGTTTGCAAAGCATATTCTCCCTTTAATCTGTTGTAGACAAGCTTTATTTTTATAACCTTATTGCTTCACAGCCTAGCTTACTGTATCGAAAAGTGTATACATAAATTAGAGAGATGATCGGTCCTCCTTTTAATTTCCCTATTGTACATGTACATGACAGTTTCCTTCCAAAAAGTTGCATGCGTGGCAATGAAAAAAAAAAAAAAAAAAAAAGACCAAGCCCACTCATGGGCCTTTTTTCTTTGTTTGTTTTCCATGCATTTAATTTACGGAAAGTCGTACAAGAAAATGGATTTTGCGTAAAATTACAGGTCCATTAAGAAAGGAGATGACCAAGGAAATAGTCCCCGTTGTACTTGGACCATCAGAGAACAAGAAGAGAGCCAGAGCTAGAGCAAGTGTCAAAGTGTGAGTGCGTAAAAAAAAAAAAAAAATTGGCGCACAGTTTTAGCAAGCAAGAAGAGGGCATGCAAATTTCATGAATCTACGACTCCCCTGGAGAGCAAACTGGGTGCTTACATAGTATCTCGCTAGGATTATATGGATATCCGGGGGTTAGTTTAGATTGTAATTTCGGTTCCTGACCTCATCTTCTCTCAAAAATATAAATGTAAAAGAAAAGAGATCTGCCAATACACTATTTTTAAAGAGGTATGGTATTGTCCTTACTAGTAAGATACATCTTGAAAGACTATATCATGGTAAGCATCAGCGTCAAACTGACAGGGGCTTTGCCAATTGCAAATGCTCAGAGCCTTTTATTTCATATTATTCTTTTTTTTTTTTTTTTTTTTTTTTTATTTTAGGCTGGTGACCTTTGTCCAAAGGTTTAACAGTTGTGCAAGCCCTGAAAAGATATTTTTTGTCATCGCGTCCTCTATCAAATGCTCCAAAAAAAAAATAAAAAAAAATAAAATAAGCCGTGTTAACGGATAATCGAGCCCTGTTGAGTGGGTGGCAATGGATAATGGGCCATACAAACAAAGATATTAAAGCAATCATGAGTAGCCCATAGTATATATTTATATATATTGTATATTTTGCACGACTTTCTATCAACCAGTAATCTAAAAAAGAAAAGTATAGTTTTCGACTACACATGTGTATCCACTTTTTATTCATTTAAGTGGCCTTTATTGAATTCATTGTTCACTCGGGTTTGATTCATGTAACAATATGCCTTGACAACAAAAACCATTGGGGCTCAGATTTTTTGTGTCTTGCTCTTGGGTATCTTGCTTGGAAAGGGCGCATGGGCAGCGTTTGTTTGTGTACATGAACATGAATATGAATATTATTCAACTCATGCGAATGTGATTCCTTGTTGGTCATCTTCTGGGTGCCTCTATCAAGGTATTTGCTAGAGGTTAATGAGATGTCTCTTTTCTATTCCTCTTTCTACTTTTCTTCTCTCTTCCTTTTTTCTTTATTTCTTTCTTTCTTTCTTTCTTTCTTTCTTTTTACCTTGTCATCTTTTAACCTCTCCTCTTTTTCAGCTTGGCCAGCGATTGACTGTTGACCGTTGGCTATTAACTGCTAACCATTGACCGTTGACAATTGACCGTTGACCATTGACCGTTGAATTTTCGCTCGTTCACTCTCACCTTCCTTCTCTGTACCACATTCTCTTCTTTCATCTCACACTCCTTCACTTCTCTCACCTCCACCTGCATCCAAAGTCAACTTAGTCATCCTATAATCTTGTTGAAACGACCCTTTCCTTTCTGTCACATACACACTCATCCTCACCTTGTCTTCTCACCATCACCCTTTTCCCCTAACCTCTTTTATCCCTGTCATATCCTTAATTCGTAAATCTCTGCTCTATATACCCGACTTTCATTTCATCTTACGTAACCATGTCTCGGCTTGTGACTAAGGTCACACATAATAACCCTGGCTCTGGGGTTCATGGCTACAGCTGAGGCAATAGGCTCAGGATAATCTCTAAACGCTTATGAAAACCAAACTAATTTTTGACGATGATTGTCGAGCAATCTTTGCCCCATTATTTCTTAATCGGTAGAATTTATAATGAAACTCACTAGAATGTCTTCTCAACTTTAATTTCTCTCCACAGCAACCAATTATAATGGATCTATATGCAGGAACTATGTAGATTACCAAGTTTGGTTGGCACCGGGCCTCGATGTTGCGACCATCGAGGCGGGTCTTACTCAAAGAGGAATAGATAGAGTAACGATGCTTCCTGCTAGCTGTGCAGATCCATTCATGGAATACGTATGTTCTACCTCTTTTCCAAGAGTAGAAGCAACCAATGTTCGTAAGTTTTTTTTTTTTTTTTTTTTTTTTTTTTTATGGACTTTTTTTTTTAATAATGACTTTGTTAGTATAAGAAGGACTCACAATCAGAGCGCGCGACTGTATTGTCTTTCTCTCCTTTCCTACCTCTCTCTCTCTCTCTCTCTCTCTCTCTCTCTCTCTCTTTGAACATCTCAATATTCATTAACAGCCAGCAACTTCAATGTCAGATTTGCATGCAAGTCAACGTGCCAGGCAGCTGTAACTGGATGTTCAGGATTGCTGACAGCTGCTGGCAAAGCTGACCAAGTTCCCAATTGCGATGTACCCATTCCAGGAACAACACAGTTTTTGCCTCAAGGAGTTTTCTTCCAACCTGATGGCGAATGCAACGTAGTTAAACCACTGAACGGCGGCAATCCACCAGGAGGTGGAACAGGAGGTGGCAATAACCACAATAACCAAACTATGACTTGTGTAGCGCCCTTTATTGCTGATACAATGGAAGGGCCTGGCGGGACCACGACCAACGAACAATACTGTAAGATGGGATGCTGTCTTCCTTGCCCAGCTCAATACTCACTTTACCGTACAGGCGCATTGGAAACAGGGTTCAAGATTACAAACACAATGCGTGCAGTGTCGATGGTCCTCAGCTTTATTCTGATGATCTCCTATCTTTTCTTGCCGGACAAGCGCTCGCACCCAAGTGCACTGATTTTTTCTTCTCGATCTGCGTCTTCCTCTTTTCGGTCGTGGTCATCTTCCCGTTGATTGATACTCGTGCAATGCAATGTTCGGACCTATAAACCCCAGTACTCAACAAAATAATATAAAATGTGCTATTCAAGGATATACTTTTATTTTATTTTATTTTTTCCTTTTCTCTTTTAAGTATGAAATTTCAGGTTCATCCTTTTGATGAAAATGCATCTGTGCCTTACTCACACCTTCTATATGTACGAACTTTATAGGAGGTATGCTTATTTTTGCTTCAGTCGCGACCTGTGCATGGTGCTCTGCGTTGATTCTCAATCTGCATTTGCACACTGTCTGGAATTCAGCCTGGTTTGCCCGCAAGTATTGGCTCTTGCATACATTCTGTTGGGACTCCATCACAGTCACAGCTGTGGCCCTGGGTCTGGGCAAGTCCGATGGGAGTTTGCAACGCTTTGCTTGATCTCTCAAGAAAATCGTCTGAGATCTTTTTCTATCCGATGGCTGCTATGATTTTCCCAGCCTTCTTGGTTCATGTGGCCACATTCATTCACATCGCACGTATTTCTGCTCAAGCAGGTGTTGATTCTGAGACGGTTTCGCGATCAACCTTGTCTGCTGGTGCAGCAGCGATGATCTCACACCGTCGCCATGTGATGATGGCGATCCGAATCCAATGGCGAGCTGCAGTGATGGCGATCTTTGCGATCCTGAGTGTGATGTTCTATTGGCTGTTTTATTTCTTGCAACTGTCCAAGATCAAGCCAGAGACATTGCTCCCTCATATTGCAGAGTTTATGACCTGTTTGATGAAGCCGGGAGCAACACATGATGGGTGCGTAGAGGGAATGGCGCCACACTGCCTCCGTACGGATTGATGATCGCAGCCGAATTCTTGGTCTCAGCCATTGGACGTGATCTTTATAGTATTCTTCAAGACTGCCGTGTGAGAGAATGGAGAGAATGGTTTAGCTCGGTCAATTATTTATTAAGTGGGAAGAGGCGTCAAAAGAAGGAGCAAGACCAATTTTTTGTCATTTAAGGCTGGCCTTAAAAAAAAACCCACCCCGATAGACTTGCGCATTGCCCCATGCAATTGTTACTGCATCTACTACAAAAAAAAAAAAAAAAAAAAAAAAAAAGGCTTTTTTTTTTATGCCTTCCCCACATTTTTTTTTTTTTTTTCTCCACATTACTCCATCCTAGATCTTAGATCATTTTTGTAACTTTCCTTACTTTCCTCTAATGCCGCAGTGTACGTAATGACAATAATAACTGTAATAAATAAATAAAAGACCAAACCAAAAGAAAATATGTCGTCTCATGAAATGGTAGACGGTGAGAATAGTTTGTGCCCTATTATTATTATTTTTATTACTATTTTATTACTTTTTTTTTTTTTTTTTTTTTTTTTTTTAGCAATTCGCCGTCTATTCTTGAAGTAATAGTGCAATTGAGCCGACATGGCATTTGACAAGCTCAGGCATGCCGCTTGCTTAAATGTAAAAAATCGGACGAGCTGGGAGAGAGCAACAGATAAAAATGTGTACGTGTGGGCCGTTTTTTTTTTTTTTTCATGCGCGTGATGGATACATTTTAAGAAAGAGGCAACAAAGTTTGTGAATGCATCCTTGCCAAAAATTCTAAAACAGTATCGACTATCTACGCTTCTCGAAGGAAGCTATGAAGGATGGTATCGGTTAAGCTAGAAAAGGGGTGGGGAATCAAATGCTTTTTTTTTTTTTGTTTTCTACCCCTCCTCCTCTCCCTCTTTTGAAGAGTAAAGAGTAAATTTCTTGAATTGAAGTCGGAAGAGTTTTGATGATGGACCGTTCTTTCTTTTGACACGTCTTGCAGAGTAAGAATAGGATGACGAATGTTAGGGGAAAAAAAAAAAAAAAAAAAAAAAAAAAAAAAAAACCAATATGAAAGAGTGTGGGAAGAGTTGGTCATTCCATGAAAAAAGAAGTGGACGCTCTTTAGGTCTTCTCGTGCATAATTTGCACTTTTTAAAATGCAAAGGAAGAGTCAGACATTATGGCAAGAGACATGATCTTGCTCCCTTTCATCTTGAAAAAAAAATAAAATAAAAAAATAAAAAAATAAAAAAAGAAAGAAAAAGAAAAAGAAAGGAAAAAAATGCCCATTTGTGGTTTCTATCCAAGTGGTTCGGGCGCCTCCTCTTCCTGGGAACGATTATTTGTTCTATTCTACTGAATCATAAACGAGCTGACAAAACAAAACAACAGAGATGGAGAAAAGAGAGGATGGGTTGCTTAACGGATGATATACAAAAAAACATTTTTTTATTTTTAATTTGCTCCGTTTGGAATTACTTCATCGTTCATGTTTTTCTTAGTTCTTCGCTTTTTTGACCCTGATGGATTGTTTGTCAATGTGGATGTGGATGTGTGCGTAGACTCTGAGGTGTTTGTTCGTTACCTCTCACACTCCCTTTTCTTCTTTCCTTCCTATTCACATTTGTATCCCCCTTTCTGCTCTTTTCGCTCTCATTCTCGTTAGCATCCTCTTCCTTATCCTCGCTCTCTCTCTCTCTTCTCTTTCCTATACTCTACTCTTTACTCTTTACTCTTACTCTCGTAGCTTTTTTTTTTTGCTTTCATTGCTCTTGCTTGAAAATCCTCTTGCTTGAAAATCCTCTTGCTTGACAATCTTTTTTTTTTTTTTTTTTTTTTTTTTTTTTTTTGCTTTCTACCTCTGTAACACCCTCATAATACCCTTTTCTTCTTGTTTTGCTGACATTGAAACTCTTAACTTTCCGGGAGTGCATAGCAAGGACTTCGTTCTACCGCATTCAGATTGTCTCATACTTATTTTTTTTTTTTTTTAGCACATTAGTTCCAGTTTCACATCACTTCTGAATACCTCATTTTCTCTCATCGCTTTATTCATTACAGCACTTCTATACTTCTATAACCACCATCATACTTTATTCTTCTTCAATCGATGGGGAACCAGCTTTCGAAGCGGCCCAATTCAAAGGCGAATCGTTCCTCGGGAATATATGATCCCAATGTTCACCCTCTTCCTAACAACACCGGCTCAAATGGGGTTGGCGCCAATGGCCTCAAAGAAAAGTCAAAGATCTTGAATGGACGGAAGAGTTTAGAACAACAACAACAACAGCAACAGCAACCTTCTTCAACAGTACCGACAAGTTCAATAGTACCGGCACCGACAGTGAATCATACTAGCAAAAGTAAGACTTCTGGTGCTAGTGGCGGTGTAAAGACGAAAGAAGTAAAGACTGAGACCAGTGCTGGTAAGTCAGCGCAAGGACTCTCGGGTCAAGAACAGGAAGATGGGCACGAACAAAACCAAGAACAGAGCCAGCTGTCTCAAGAGGATACTCGCTCTTCTTGGCACCAGCAGCAGCAAGAACCGCAGGTAGGGATAGTTACTGCGCCTCTATCCACATTGATTTTCTGAATATTGTCCAGATCCCAGACCGCGGAAAAAGGGAAAAAAAAAAAAAAAAAAAATCAGGACAACCTCTGCCGATGACACATCGTTGACCGTTACCGCATGAATATCCAGTTGGAGTGCGACAGCTGCGGTAGTAGCAGTACTAATAGGAATAGTAGGAAAAAGCAGAAGTATAAGCAGGAGTGGCTGTTTATGGATTGCTACGCCTTTGAATGCATTACCTGAATCATCATCAATAGAAAAGAGATTTGGACCACATTGTATCGTGCCACCACTTGTCAGAGGTCATTGCATCACGGACAACAAACAACATCGGGCGGCACAGGGTTCAGTTTAACCTAGCCAACAGCACCTGTCTTGGCGCAGGGATTCAAATGAAATGGGCTCTCATACAAAATCAAGGCCGCTCATGATCAGCAAGCACAACTTTTGGAGACGCTGGCCTAGGCGACCAATGAGATCCACAGCAACGACAGGAGAGGAATGAGTATAGCTCCGAAGATAGCACACAATAATGACTCTTTTTTTTTTTTTTTTTTTTTTTCCTCACAGACACAAACACTAGAACAGAACCAGTCTAATGAACAACCCTCTGAACAGGATCATAGTAACGACAATAATAATCATAATAACCACAGCAATGGTGATAGTGCCCTTGCGGCTGGAATCAGCCGAGATGATACCCAACTATCACCTGAACACCAGCAGCAACCATCGCCCCCAAAGCAACAGCAACCTATTATCCCACAACCCAGTATTCCTTTTGCAGTCTCTACACCAGGCAACCCTATCCTTATCAAAAAACACAATCTCACACCTCTAGCTCTCTCGTCCAACCCAACATCCTCCTTGAATCGATCCTCGCCCCCTTCTCTGTCCCCAAAATTCAGCGGTAGTGGCAACAGGAAACTGTCTGTAGACCTTTCACCTTCTGCACGGCTCTCATTCCTTGGACCATCTTCCGGAGGCACAGGGGATAAGACGAAACAAGGACTGGATATCGATGACATGATCTCCAGACTACTGGACGCAGGATACTCTGGTAGGATCTCCAAGGGGATCTGTTTGAAGAACAGCGAGATCTTATACATCTGCCAGTGTGCACGAGAAGTTTTCTTATCACAGCCCACGCTCATTGAGTTGAATGCGCCTGTCAAGATCGTTGGTGACATTCATGGACAGTACACAGATATGTTGAGGTTGTTTGAGATGTGCGGCTTCCCGCCATCGGCCAATTTTTTGTTCCTAGGTGATTACGTGGATCGAGGCAAGATGAGTTTGGAGACCATTTTGCTGTTATTCTGTTACAAGATCAAGTATCCGGAGAATTTTTTCCTGTTGAGAGGCAATCATGAATGTGCCAATGTGACAAGAGGTAAATTGGCTTTCTCCCTTTTTTTTTTTTTTTTTCTCCCTATCCAATTTTGATTAATGGGGCATTCAGCAAAAAAAAAAAAAAAAAAAAAAAAAAGGTTTTCATGCCCTTACAGTCTGGCACAATGCATCAGAAATAGAAGAAGTGGTGTGTATAAGAGGGCTCAGTTGATGTCCCATTGAGATAGCTCTTTGGAATAAGGGAGAGTGAATAGGGGGGGGATAGGAATTGATCATGCACAGAAGTTGCATACAGATGCACAGCGTTGTCTCTGTCTTGAAATATCACGCGCAATTTCGTTGTCACATGACGGCGGTTACGAAGTTACGACACAGTAACCCACCAACTAACGCTACAACATCTAAAACCAATATGTAGTGTATGGATTCTATGACGAATGCAAGCGCAGGGCTAGCATTAAGATGTGGAGGGCATTCGTGGATGTGTTCAACTGCCTGCCCTTGGCCGCTATTGTTGCCAATAAGATTTTTTGTGTACATGGTGGACTATCACCCAATCTCTCGACGATGGATGACATCCGGGCGATCCGACGCCCTACAGACGTACCAGATTTTGGATTGCTGAATGATCTATTGTGGTCAGATCCATCAGACACAGCGGCGGACTGGGAAGATAACGAGCGTGGTGTTTCATATTGCTTTGGACGGAGTATCATCCAAAAGTTTTTGAATCGTCACGATTTTGATCTAGTATGTCGAGCGCACATGGTAGTGGAGGATGGATATGAGTTCTTTAATGACCGGACACTGGTTACTGTCTTTTCGGCACCCAACTATTGTGGCGAATTCGATAACTACGGAGCTGTGATGAGCGTGAACGAAGATCTGCTGTGTAGTTTCGAGCTGTTGAAGCCAATTGATCCAGAAACAGCACGAGCACAGATGCAGAGCCTTGCAGCGTCAGCAGGCGGATGGAGAGTGAACAAGCAACGGCTCAGGTAAGAAAGCTTAAAAAAAGATGCTGTAGTTTTTTTTTTTTTTTTTTTTTTTTTTTTTTATTCTTATATGCATTTCGTTAAATATCTTTTTTTTTTTTTTTTTTTTACCTCCTTCATTCATGGATTTAGCTTACCTGATAGCAACTCACTATTCACTTCAACGCCAGGCAGCATGATGCACGGATAGTCATGAAGCAAGAGAGAAAAGTGCAAACAAAAAAGCCAAGGATATGAGAATTATAATAATAATAATACCTAAAGAGTTTGTTTATCCTTTTATTTACAAAAAAAAAAAAAAAAAAAAAAAAAGAAAAGCTTGTGCACCATAGACATTTACATTGTTTGTTTCTTCTGCTCACAATCAACATTCGACGATGACTCGATTCTGAGCGAGAAGGCAAAAAAAGGGGAGTTTTTGGTCTAGATCGTTCTTACAGTTTGTCAATCATTATGTTCGACTTGTAAAAGTCAATGTCCCTTCTTCGATCTTGTTATTGATAGTTAAACACTACATCGGGCAACATCTGGGGATAAACAAACATTAAGGAAAAGAAAAAGAGAGGGCGAGAAGGCAATACCCAGATTATTATTTTTTTACGAAAGAAGTGCTGATTTATATATCTCAGGTTACGGATGGACGGAAGGTGTACAAGGTACGCACAGTAAATTGGCATCAAAAGGCCGCAAAATTTGAATGTCAACCAACGGAGGAGAGGTAAGGCGACTGTTCGGACTCCATCTGATACTGTATAAACACCCGAACACTGCCCACATGCTATTGACTACTCTACGTCCCTTAAACAATATTCTTAGCATACATCTGAACTTTTGCAAGGGATGTGTCAATACTTCGACAAACATGTAGCAATTAATGGCTATATCACAGCCCTTGGATTGTGGAAGCGCTGAAATTATGCGGAAAACGGGAACCATTTGTGTTTTTACTAGCAACAAGCGTGGTTTCAAAAAAGGGTGCCTCCAAGGAACAAATCCTATATCCTTCATTGCTCAAAAGAGACAATCTTGTCTTTTCTGCACCCCAAAAGCTCGCCATAATCCTATTGAAGCGTTCAGAGGCATTATTTGCCTCATGGTTTGAGGATTAGCAGACTTTCAGTCAAGCTTTATTGTTTTGAACAAACACAGTAAATCCTGTCCATTCGAAGTTAGTCCCTTTGGATGGCAGCTATTCAGGGGATGCTAATCAGTTCCGCTAAATTATGGTGCAATCAAAGCAGATTTGGAAAACCAACAAGCATCGAACAGTCGCCTTAACAAGCGAGTGACCTCTCTGTGACGCGCACGTACCATGGGGGCGACTTTTCAAATTCTTTTATAGAGATGAAATCCAAAGTCGCCCCAGTTAATATTTTAGCGTGTTATTAAATTTCTATGACAAGCCTTTTTATAGGATTAAGAACTATATATATTATGTATTACTGTATACTGTGACGAAAATTCTAAGTTGGGATATTTTTAAAAAGTTTCTCTTTGAGCTCGTCGAAGCTGACATGAAGAAGATCTTTGTAATCCTTGATTAATCCAGTGTGGTTTGCTGCACCAGGGGAACCACGCATGTAAACTATTTTAAATCCAGTTACTGGCTCTCCATCCTTTTTGACAACAAAATGCCCATCGTCAATTATGGCGGAATGATTACCTCCAAATACTTCGTCCAAATAGCTTTCAATCTGATTTCTGCCGTCGGGACCTCTCTTATCAAAAGCGTTCTGGATTTGCTTAATTTGTTTCTTCTCGTGTTCTTGGAAATTACTTATGGACACCTGGATAAACATTGTGTCGAGTATGAAATCAAAGCGAGGATAAGTCGAATGACAATGGCTCAGTACATGTCCATAGCCACGTCCAAGAGAAGTCATGCCTTGATGGATTGTCCCATGATCCTTAAAGTCCACTATAATCTCCGTTGGATTCACGCCGATAAGGTTTGTTGCTTTGAGAACGATTGGCTTGGTTAAAGTCAAAAGCCGGACTAGCAGTGCCAACTCGAAATCATCTCCACTCATCTCTCCAAGAATAACTCCCCTCAGGATATGCTCATGATGAGGCATATTTGTAAACGCCTGAAAGAGTGCTTTCTGCGCTGGGAGGCACAAGACATAGTTTATGGCTCCGCGGTTCTTGTTGAGACGATAGATAAGCCCTAGGTCACGGAAATCCCATTCAAAATCACTACTCTGCGAGTTGTTGCCAAGGAAGACTGTTGCAAGGCTTTTAGCGAACTTCTTCTTCGATTCATCGCTGCAAGATCTGTAGTACGTCCAAACTACAGTGTGAAACTCGCCTGTTCTCTCAGTTACATACGAATCAATGCTATTTCTTGTGAGTGGTCTTTCCTCAATTGACCGGATGAGGAACATAAACTCTCGTGGCACACGGTTTGTAATCCTCATTATATCCTGGACAATATCGGGTTGGTTCAGGTGGACCTCCAACCATTTTGAAAACACTGTCTCGGATAGTGGGCCAACAAAGTACAATAAGGTATTTCGAAGACTGCCTGGCATAATCTCCAATTCATATTTGGCATGGGCTGTTCCTGTAAATATCGCTCTAGATCCTTTGGATTCAGCTTCCCATCGAGTGAGATCCTTTAGATGGTTCAAGAACAGGTATTTATCTGGCACGTACGGCTCTTTTTGGAATAACTTTCCATGTTCGTCGATAATGAATAGTGTTTTGCGCTCCTTCTGTTTGAATAGGTCGAATAATGCGCGACCAGCCGCAATTGAGCAATCTATAACTTCAGAAGCGTCGAGGAGACTTTCCAGATCAGATGCCGTCAAGATATCCCTGTTGAGAGCGAAGAAGATCCTTAACAGTGCCTTTGCCGATTTTATTTCCTAGAGCTTGACGAGTAATTGGTTGGAATATCGGTTCAATTTTACTATAACAGTTCTTCAAAGTCTCCAAGAATTGTTCTTTGCGATCCTCCTCATAATCCTTTAGTCGTTGCTTAATCCCATTAGCCGCGAGCTCAATGCCTTCAATGTCGTCGCCAAAAAAAAATATTGAATTCCCGTGGCACACATCCGGTGGCTTTTTGAATCTCGCCTCGTAGCTCATTCAATTGTTGGCGGGCTGTTGGGTGGACCTTATTTATGATCACATCCAGTAGCTTATTGAAAATATCAGGCGACAGTGGACCAACATACTCGACATAGTGTGGTGCGTCTCTGAGAATGAGCTTTGCAAATCTTACCGTACTGCTAAACACTACTCTCGCATTATTTGAATTGTTCCAAGAGTTGAAAGTCTTTAGAGGCCATAAAACTGGGAACCTGTCGGGCGCAGACTTACTATTTTTCTGGAAATAATGCACCATGCTCATCCACGACAAATAATGCCTTCTGACTTCTTGACTGGAGTAGGTCACCCAAGATACTGCTGGCGCTACTCACAAAAAGATTTTCCGATGTTTCAATTTCGACCATTTCCTCGAGCTCTGAGGCTGTCAAAGTATCTTTGTTGTTGGATAAGAAGAGTTGACAGATCAGTCGTGATGCGTCAGTATTAGTGTCACAATTGTTAAGTTGATTAGCATCCGCAATATAAAGCACTGGCCAACCATGTGCATATGCCTTGGCCGCAAGGAACCATGAAATGTATGATTTGCCGACGCCCATTGGACCGTAAACATTTCTTGACAGACGACTCACTGTTCTCGAGTTCATTCCATAGCTTCATCATCTATTCAGACATAAAAAAACTCGCGACCTTGATAGCCTCTCGCAAAGAATATTGGGTTCTGACCAAGATCCATTGAAGTAATTCGATTCCCAGCCTGCACCATCAAAAGCGATTGGAACTCGGCGCGGGGTTCTGGTGCATACTTGTTATTTTCGCTCAAATTCAGTATATGTTGGGGTAAAACTACGAGTTCGCCATCGACTGCAATATATCGCTTCAAGGAACGACAGCGCTTCGTAAGGTGCTCTTTGAGCATATAAGAATAGCGAGACTGACGTGAGTATGGAATAAATAAATTTTCTCAAGAATCATCAAAACTATGAATGGAATAAACTCACTTTCTAAATCTTCGTCTTCTGTGTCTTCTAGGCTCCTTTGGGACTTCTTGGGGCTATTTAAAATCCACGCAATAAACTAACAAGAGGATAGTTAGATAGGAGGCTTTGATAAAAGTACTTGTATGCGATAGAGCAGTGGGGAGCCGAAATAAGCTCAAGCAAAAAGCCTCGCGAGAGGACAGTGAGAGTCAGAGTATACGCACGCACCATGGAGGCGACTTTACAAATTCTTTTTACAGATCAAACTGTGCATTTAACAATTAAGCACCATTTACCACTATGCCTACTACCGCCCTCTGAATAATTCTCTACAAATAGCAAGACTGGATATTTTTGGCTATTCTAGAATGATTTGGGCGATCTAAAAGTCCCATAAATATAAACAGATCTAAAGTCGTCAAGCCGCATCTGCGTATTTATCTCAATCTGGTCTCTCATCTCATCTACAACCCGACGCGGCACCCTTTGATAGGATGACGCTTAAAGTTAGAAGATGAATGGAGTAGAAGCTTCCTTTATTGATAACACTATCCAACACTATCAAACAATGTTTGCAAAGAATAGGCTTTTGAGGTCGTTGAAGCTTACATGTTCTACATCTGGCAACTCTGTAACGAGCTGGCGGTGATTCCCTAGGTTAATATCTCTACCACAAATGTAGACGATTCGGAATCCAGGAACAACTTCATCAATACCTGTTGTCGGGTCTTTTTTGGTGACAATAAATCCATCCTTTCCAAAATCAGCTCTATGCTTTCCACCATACATTTCATCCAAGTAACACTCAATCTGATTCCTATCATTATACACCACTTTGGGTGTCTTGTACGGTCGCTTAAATGCTTTCCTTAAATCACTTGAATCTCTGTTATGCACTCCAAACTCGCTGACAGACACCTGGATGAATATTGGTCCAACCATAAAGTCAAATCGAGGATATCCTGGATAGCCACGGGCCAAGAATTTATCTTTTCCCGGGCCAAGAGAATGTCGTTGCCTGCTTATAACTCGGTAGTCATCGAAGTCCAACACGATCGAGCCCTTAGGATCACCAACGAGGTTCGTTGTAGGGAGCACTATTGGCCTAATACTAGTGCAAATAAATGCATGAAAAATTGCTTGCTCAAATTCATTTCCACTGAACCTATTAGCCTTGAGCCGATTCTTTAGATCTTCTGGCATTCCCATTGTCTTGAACTGATCCAAAAGTGCTCTGAAGGCTGTATTGCATAAAGGGCGGAATAAAATTACTCCATCTCTCCTTAGACGGAACAAAAGACCCAGATCTATGAAATCCCACTTGAACTCTCCTTCGACAGAACCATGTAAGAACGCCGAGGCAAGGCCATTATAAAAATTTGTACGGGTCGTCTCGGATTTTTCGATGCTTTTGTAGTAGTTCTGGATGTTGTGAGAAAAATCCAACCTTCGGCAGTCTTCAAACTTCTCGAATGCCTCCTTAATGGGTAACTCTGGATTCTCTTCAATATAGGTTGACAAGTTCATCAGCTCTCGTGGTACAAGGTTCGTGATACTCCGTATATCCTCGTAGTCCGTGGATTGGAGATTGGGAGTATGCTTCAACAGATTCTTGAAAGCGTCATCCAACAAAGGTCCCACGAATACCACTGTTTTAAAGTCCTCCTTAAAGCTCGATTCCATGATCTCCAATTCGAATTTTGCATGCGCTGTGCCAGTGAGAATCAAACGAGATCCAGCCAAGTCTTCAGTCCAACTGGAAAGGTCCATCAGAGGTTTTAAAGATTTAAATTTTTCTGGTACTGGTTTGTCGAATCTGAAGAGTTTCCCATGTTCGTCAATAATAGTTAGAGTCTTCCGTTCCTTCTGCATGAGCATGTTAAAAACGCGTATGATAGCAGTATTCCATATGCCACCTTGAACACCATAGCCGGATACAAGCGTCTCCAGTTCGGCAGCAGTTAAAACATCCTTGTTCATCACAAGGAAACGCTCGATCACTTCCATATATGAGTCCGCTTTCTCACTAGTATCCAAAGTACCCGCATCTGATATGTAGAGGGTAAGCCATCCTTCAGCATATGCTCTTGCTGTCAAAAAATAGGAGAGAAAGCTCTTGCCAATACCCATTGGACCAGACAAGACTCGTCTGTATACGCACCTTTGTTCTTCTTCCATCTCGTTCCAAAGCTCCAGCATTTGGTGCGTGACGAGAATTTCAGAGACTCTATAACCCTTTGGGACTTGACCCAGGGATGGTATATCGACCCAACTACCAGCCTTCAGATCGTCTTTGAGATGTTCAAACTCATTACGTGGTTTTGGAAGGTATCTAGAATCCTCTAGCATTGCGATCCAAGAGGGTGGTAACGTGACCATTTTGCCATCAGAAGCCCTGTATTCTCTCCACCCTTCCTCAATGCGTATCTTCTTTGAAGGTGAAATATACTGTGGATCTAATTATGATCATCGTACACATACACAGTTGGTTAGTACCATAACATATAGCCAGTCATCAAGTCAATCTATTTATACAGCAAAAAACAAATTATTACCTTCGTCCATTTTTCTCTTGAGAATCTGTCCCGATGTCTCTAGAAAGATAAGAGAGCGCAGCAATGGCAGAAATGTTAGCATTTTGATCAGATCAAAGAATATATTGCTGTCAATGAGATATGAACGCCAGCTAATGGAGAGTCAGAGCATGTGTGCGAAACGCGAAACAGATTCAATCAGAAAAACTAACAAATGCATCAATGTAAAAGGTCAAATAAAAATAAAAATAAAAATGAAAACTATGTTCTCAGACAACAGTGAGAGTCAGAGCATGCGCACGCACCACGGGGGCGACTTTTCAAATTCATCTCAACAACATAAAAAAGCGAGGGATACACGTGACCGTGCTGAGACAGAAAATAAGCTTCCTCAATTGAAAATATAACCATCAGTCCATCAAGAGCTAAATACATACCTGGCGGCGGCAGCTTGACAATGATGTGAATGCGACCTTTTGCTGCACCTTTTGGAAAATAAGTGCTGAGTTCTTCAAGTTCATCATCGAGCAATATAAGGGATCCTTCGGATAATGCACCCAATTCTCTCTTGGCTACGCCGCCAGGGATAAGATTGAGAATGAGATTGTCGGCGTCTACTCCTTGAAGGACATTTGGTTTCTTTTCCTTGATGGCTTGCTTGAGTTCATCGACTGAACAATTGGAAAGAATGTTTACAGAAAAAGAAGTTGCTTCTCCATTAACAATACAATAAATCCTTAGGTTGGTTGGCTCTTTCTCAACCTCTCTTTCTCTTTCAATCGAACCACGTCTAGATGGACCATTTGGTGTTGTTGTTCCGCTTCCCATTGTGATTTCAAAACTGTTTAAAAACAAGGGCGTAAATGCACGGAGGACAGAAAATAGGGAAAGGTTGATAAAAATGTTAAAGGATGATAGTTCAGTAGCAGGATGGTTCAAAATTGTCTAGAGATGAAGTTGAGGGAGGAAAAGAAAAAAAGAAAAAAAAAAAAAAAAAAGGAAAGGAAAGGAAAGGAAAGGCAATGAATGAAGGCTTGGAATAAATGAAAAAGGAAGAGGAGAAGATATGTGAAGGGAGCAAAACTGGGGGGAAATAAGAAAAAAGTGAAAAGAGGATAAAGGAAGAAAAGGAAGAGGAGAGTGCAAAAATGAAGTGAAGCAAGTTAAAGAAAGGAGCGACAATTGATAAATCTGTTCCTTTATTTCAAGGTTGTGTGTGTGAGAAATTTGCCCCCAAGTGTGACGTAACATGTATTATTTTAATACACAAACACTCTTCGTCTATTTCACTCTTGTTTTCACCACACAATCGAAAGTGTGCACATCCACTCTATTCACCTTACATTCATCCCACTATGAACATGTCTAATACTCCCTCATTCCAAGAACAAGAAGCTGTCACTGATGCTCCTATCAATGATGTTCTCGCCATCAAAAGATATTGATCGGTGGTTTCCTTGATGATATCTAAGCAATAGTTATGCTTTAGAGAAAAGCCCTTGACGCGTCAAACTCTGGGAAGGATGTGGGAGGATGACAGTGAAGAAAGAGAAGATGGCGATGAAGAAAAAGATAATGATCAAGTAGATATCCTGGCTGGCCATGAATTTGATTTCGAAGCAAGTGTTGCAATTACATTAGTCGCCCCATAAAGTCTAGTTCATTGCTTGAGAGTATATAATAAAGAAAAAACTGGACATTTGTACGTTAACTCTAGTCTTTGAAGACGCGCGTATTGAGTTGTGAGTGGTTTTGTGCAATTTATTCAAGCCGCAAAGCGCTATCCCTTAAACCGTCAACCTGGCAAATTTGCCAGGATATCTTTTTTTACCATGTTTTTTTGTGTTTTTCTCAATAAATTATAAAGTGAGCAAGGGCGTGATGTATTGGTTTCCAGCACGTGCTGGAAGAAAATGAGCACAAACTTGTCGCTCATACAGCACAAACCTAATGCCCAAACAGCACAAACCTATTGCCCAAACAGCGCGAACCTGTTCCGAAACAGCACAAACCTGTTCTGGAAACTGCACAAACCTATTGCACAAACAGCGCTAACCTGAAGAAAAGCACACAGGCTTGTCCTTGAATAAAAAAATCCACAATCATCTGCATGCATAACAGGCTTCTTCTCTTTTCGCACTTCCATTACCATTACCATTGCCATTGCCATTGCCATTGCCATTCTCATTCAATTCTCAGAGAACCTTCTGCATCATCCCTAAAGACACGCTTAATAAATACCACGAACAGTTGACAGATTACTGAGGTTGGTCCCAAGTGGAGAGAGGACTAGCCCTGCCTTACTGAACAAACGCTCAGACTCAGTTGATGTGGACTGGATACAGAGGTACGAGCGCGCGAAGTGGGCAAGATCCCCAACTGAGATATTTTCATCGATGCCATATGGCCTCCAATAGTCCTGAGGCTTATCTTTAAAGCGATCGTGATTGTAGTCCAGCGAGCGTACCGATGAAGCGTAGAACTCTACCGCAAAATTCGAAGAGAAGTAGAGTATCTGATAATCACTCGTTTGCAATGGATTTTTTGTCACTGTATTATTCTCCTTGAATATCTTAAAGTAGTTTTTTTGCTTTTATAAACAGACTTTCCCCACTAGCATGCATCGTATCCTTTAAGATATCGAGTGCTGCGCAAGCAGGGTTCAGGAATATAGAAATGAGCACGGCATTTGGAATGTCCTGGAGAGGCCACGATTTTTTGATCTGTTCGTCCAGGCTTTGCCATAACTCTCTCGTCTCTTCCGTTCGGAATGTTGTAAGCGCCGGGAGCATAGTGTGGACCCTCAAATAGATTTGCGAAATGGTCGGGTTATCATGTGCGCCTGCCCAGTGTGTAAACTTGGCAGCCGGCTCCAAGAGCGTGATAATTTCCTGCAGGGTCTCGATCTCTCCCTCGACAAGGAGGTGCCACCCGAGCTCCGCAGCCTTGAGCTTTTCGTCTTTGGATCCTGCCCCCATTAATTGATAGACCGCTATAATTGCTTCTGAAACTTCAAGCACCCTTGCTGCCATGTTGAATTTTGAGTTCCATCGCGTGACATTCGTTGTAAGCAGTTTGACCAATTTTTTGTTACTTTTGCTACGCTGATTGTTAAGCATATCCATAGCAAGACTGGAGCTTCTGAAGAAGGTTGAGATCTTTTGGCATTTTTCCATCACCGCCTTAGCTCCAGAACTTCGTTCCAATGCCTTATTGATACACAGCTGTATTACATGGGAAAAACAGGGAAGTCAGGTAATACTCTTCTTTAGATTATAAAGTTGTATGGCTCTTTTTATATTCGACCCTTGATCCGTTGTTGCACAGATCAAATGCCCTTCCAAATTCCATCTTGCGATTACACGTTCTATAGAACAAATTCCAGGATTAAAAGTGTTATTTACAAAGGTCTCAAACAGGCAGTAAACCGACAGAGCTAAAGCAATGATATTCTTACCAAGCTTTTCCAATAGGACTTCTGCCGATTGAGGGCCTTGGACTCGTTCCATGCCAATCACAACTGAAGCCGGCTGAAAGTCATGTGTTAGAAAGTGAAATGTTACTCCAAGGAACTTCCTTTGATCACCGCTTGTCCAACTATCCGCTGTGATTGCGCCTTGAATTTTACGATCAGTGATGTATCTCTCCACATATGCATTACACTTAAATCCATGTTTGATTGGATAGCGTCTGTGCTTGGAATTACGTATAATGGATTAAGTTGCAAACATATTGCCTTGAAAGAATCCGAGCCATTTAAATTGAAGGTCGCTCCGTTGTCGGCGATAAGCCTTAAAAGTAATTTCTCGAAGAACTGTTGTTCATACGGAAGTGGCCTCTTCATAGTCGTAAGAACAAATCCCTCTCTAGCCACTTCGAAGTTCCCCTGTGGTCTAGGGGGCTCATCATCATCTTGATCTTTTGACGACTTGACATTCTGGACCATGCCTTGATAGAGGCGAAATTCCTGCACAGCCTCATATATTGTGGAGTGGTTTTTGAGGAGATGGTTTTTTCGTGATCTGCTGCCCCCTGACTTCTTGTACTTTATGCCACACTTTACCCCGAGACTGTTCTTAACCTGGCATTCGAAGAAGCCAGATGCATCTGTATTATAGAAATGTCCAAGGATACTAGACTTGCGTATGGACTTATGTATTGGGACTTGTGCCAAAGGCTTTTGTGAGGCAGGCGCGTCGTCGCACTGTTCGGGCGAAGGTAAAACGCCAAGTTCAAGCGATTCATATAGCGTGTACCATGTCTCCGATGCTCCATGACTGGTACGTAGGTTAAGTCGACGCTGCTCCAAAGCTTCAGCTTCAGCTGCAAGCAGGGTTGCTTGTGAGTTGTCAAAAGATAAAGGATAGGCTAAATCTCGTGAGATCTGAGGAAGTCTACGAAAAGAGGAGGACGATGAAGATACCGGAGAGGTCTGGTGCAGAGAGATGGGCAACTTGGGCTGAACGCCATGCACATCTCTATGCCGTCCAGAGTACGATGAAGTAACTGAGGAGAGATAAGACCTATATAGATGCTGCTCATCCGGGACGGATGCCGTGGTACGCCCTGGACAGCGGAGTCTGGTTTTATTTAGTTTATCTCTCACTGATTAAATTCTGTGCTAAGCCCATTCAAACAAATATAGTTTTATTCACGGTATACAAGGCTTTGCTTCGTCTTGCCAAGAATAACCTTTTCTTCTTCCTCTTGGAGCAAGTTTCTTTTGAAGCGATTAAGTGAGCATGAAACAGTGGTTGGCAATTATTGTTTAATTGGTTCATTTGAGGATTCAGCAACAACCGTGTAGCACGCTTCCTGGGCATGGACATGACGCGATGAAATCATCAAAACAAAAAAAAAAAAAAAAAGTCACCACAGAAGCAGTTCAGGATACTCGGGTTGTTTTAAGTATCCGAAATGATCAAGACATCAATGTTATGTTATCAAGGTCTTCAAGATGGCTAATTAAAGCGGGAAATAAGATATTAATTTTGTTAATGTATATCGCATCCTAGTCAGGGACCTTGGACATCTGTGCAGCAGTAGACAAATGGTTTGGGACCTTGGAACTGGAATAAGAATCATGGAATCATGTGATGACGACTATGGAAGAACACAGACCACTTTTCCACCTTTTCAAAAAAGACTATTTTCTTTTTTTCCTTAGCCTCATTCTCTCCTTCATTCCACAATGGCTAATGTCGCATTTTCTATCCCATTTGTCGTCTTCTCCGGCTCCCGGATGGTTGGGAGAGGCGCGTGTCTTTCGACTGCTCTCAGAAATAGTAATATTAGTCTAGGCTCAAGCATAAAGCCGTTGACTTTTTCGGTGACAGCGCGTCGTTGGTCAAGCAGTGACAAAAAGGATCACCTTCCCCCACATCCACTCCCTACTACTTCGTCATCAGGCCACCCTTCTCCACTTTCCAATGAAGATAAATCCACGCCCATGGGTACATCGTCCTCTACCAAGACTATGGAGTCGACATCTACGATTGCAGGAAAGGCTGCTAAGGAACAAGCGCCTCGTCTTAAGAAGCTACAAGAGCAACAGCAGGCAGCCAAGGGTTCTAAAGCACCTTATTCAACAACAGCAACAGCAAAGCCCGCAGTAACTCAAGCAAGTGAGGTCGAAGAGACTGCAACGATGGATTGGAACTCGTATTTTCAACTCCGAAGAACTCGTCGTAATTATGAGCGTGCCTTCATGGTCCCTTGTGCATTGCTGAGCACAGTAAGTGCGGGCTATTATTTTGCACAGCAGGATTTTGATCCGACTCCCATCTTTGGAATGGACCAGGTGGTTGTGTATGGTCTTGGAACTGTGGCCGCTGGCGTTGTTGGGCTTGCAATGGGTCCTGTTGTTGGAAATATTGCCTTCAGAATGAATCATGCGAAAGCGAAGCCACTAGTTGATAGTGTAAGACAGTGCTGTGGTGTAATGATGAAATAAATATTCATAATTGTAAGACATGCTTCTAAACGGCTAAAACATTCTACTCTTTTTTTCTTTTTTGAAGAATAGATGGACAAGGAATTCCGCAAGCATATCGTCAAGAACCGTGCGGATCCAAGTACCAACTCTGTAACGTCCCCACTTCCAGATTATGAGGGTGAAAAGATCAAGTCTGTCAGTGATTATCGCAAATGGCTTCGTAAGCAGCGTGAGCACCGTCGCAAAGCGACATTCTTTGTTTGAAAAAAAAAAAAAAAAAAAAAAAAAAAAAAAAGAGAAAGCTTCATGGAATGAAAAAAATTGGTGAAGCAGAAACCTACCCTGTTTACCAAATTGTAAAGCGAGTACAAAATCGATTATAAATAAAGTTTCTTTTTTCTATTATTTAAAATTTACGATGTGAAGTAATCCATGCCAGGGGGGAATAAACTTTCTTCATCCACCTCTTGATTGTCAGAGACGCGATCCATTGGACCACTGCTGCCATCACCACCACCTAACTCCTCTGCAGGTTTAATGAATGGCAAGATAGATGTTGTTTTTGTTGATGGCTTTACAGTTCTGACAACGATATAGAGAGTCTGAGGATGAAGCTTTAGTCCACTGTAATTGACTTGAAGAGTAGGTTTTTGCTCAGTTTGACTTGATGATGCCTCAAAATCCTTTGCTCCTGTTCTCTTTTTCTGCTTCCCTTTCCTGACGACTGCATCATCCTCTGGAGCCTCTTTTCGCTTTGCTCGTCTCTTGTTGGGCTGTACCGAATTGCTATATTCACCATCATAATCATGATCATTTGCATCTCCTTGCTGTGCATCTATCTCTGTGTCATCATCCCCACGCCTAAAATCACTAACACGTAAGCTATCGCTCTCATCCTCTTCTCGGATTGCGACCCCATCAATAATGTTATTGGGATTGGATGTTGTTGTTTCGCTTTCACCTTCAAGTGAAGCCAGATCTGTGCTCACTCTACGACTCACTCTTTGAGATATTAGAGAGACATCTTCCTGCTCCTCCTTGACTTTCAAAAACCCCAATGTCTTATCAGCAATAAGGATGGCGCCTCCACGCTCAGATGTTGTGCTAGGCCTCATTCCAAACCTTACTGCAAACTGAGGTCTTTCTTTGACCCCACGTTTTCCTGCTTTACCACTGGGACTGGTGCTAACACTGTTGTCCACTGGATCATGGCGATCTCTGTTGCTACCATAGCTGTTTCCTCCAAGAATAACTCCAGCATCCTCTAATCCATCATCATCGGGATCCTGATAAATGCTGTTGTATGTTGTTGGAGCAACAGCTCTCTTGATTATATGCCCTTGATTATAGAGCTCAATGCGGCTCAAAAGAAGAGGCTTCAGTACCGTTAGGATCTCCTATGTTCAAAAAAAAAAAAAAAAAAAATAGTGCATGTGTGAATATAAGAGAGATGCCATGCAGTAACTTTTTAAAGGGTAATAAAAAAACCTACTTGAAATGTGTAATCGTTAAACCAGTCGAGGTCTTCTTTGGCCAGTAATAAATTCAATGGCAAGACACTAGCTTTACTGATGCGTAAGAATCGAAAGTTATGAGTGGTATACATGAGACTGAATGTAAGATGTCAAGAAAGGAATGGAATGAAGAAATGTAAAGTTCTTTTAGAGGTGAAGAAAAAAAAGGTCAAATTCCTGGACAAAAGCGCCACCAAATTTATTTATTATTATATGGGAGACATGATATATTTAAGCATCAGTGATGGAAAGAACACCGACACTTTAATTAGGTCAAGTAAAATGACAAAAAAAATGATAGTCAGCTGAAGGAAAAAAAAATCCTAACATACCGGAAGTACAGTACCAGGACAAAATGTATTGGAGTGTTCTGGAGTATTCTATTTCAATGTAATGGAGCTAGAAAAAGCTTAGTAGGACTTTATCTACTGCCTGGTTGGCTCCACAGCCAATGAAAAAAAAAAAAAGATATACAATACTTTATTTAATTGGAAATCGACCTAATTCATTTGCTATTCTATTTTTTACTCCAATACATTTTCTCCTGGTACTGTACTTTCCGCATGCGGTACCGAGCTCAACGTTAGTGCCAGTGTAGTGATGGACACCGGTCTTGGACAACATGGCGTAATACTCAATCTCGGACTTGCGGAGAGGAGGGCAGTTACCAGAGATAATGACCAACTTGGCTATTTAATTAATTCATTCATATGAAGTCAGATCGGTCAAAGAAAGGTAAAAGAGAGAAGAGCATAGAAATATAGAAGAGAAAAAAATGTCAGAATGAAAATATGACTTGTTGTGAAATGATTACTCCGAAATTCCTCTATACATTTTGTTACAAGGACGCCTGACTGAACTCTCAGTACATCGTGGGCCTTTCAATTGATCAAGCTCTGGTTGTTCCCTTTCCTGTTCCTACTCCTGTTCCTACTCCTGTTCCTAGCCCTTTTGCTGTTCCTGAAAATAATTGGCATATAAAATCCTGATGTCCAAGTATAAGAAAAGTGTTTAGGTATATCCTACTTACACTTTCCCTGACGAAGAGTCTTGAGTGTCGACTTGTAACCGAGTTGGTACTTGCCAGACTTCATGACGAGAGCCAGACGGGAGTTGATACCCTCACCAGCCTTGACCTTCTTCTTAGTAATAGGAGCCATGTTCCTTATAATTTTCTTTTGATACATAAAAAAAAAAAAGACCGATAGAGTTTCCCTTAGTACCAACGCTAATGAGCTTTCAATCCCTGGTCTCTGTAATCAACTGTCCGTCCTGATTTCCAAATCTAATGGAGGATCAATACAAAACAATGCAACAAAAGTTTTAAATATTTACCCTTAAGTATTAAACACTAATCATTACAAAATCAATTCAATCATCGTTTTTTAATTTACATCATAAGTAGATATGCACGTGACAAATCTTCCACTCGACAACTTCTATTTTTTCATTTCTAAAAAAACTACATTCCATCTTGCAAGTACTCTTCCACACCAACATAACACATAATGTCAGACAAGGAACTCCTAGCACAGATTGCACAGGTCGCAGGTAAGATTCATTTGCTTTTTGAAGCTGATATAGAACATCTTTAGAACTGGTATCAATCAGTTTTTTGCCGCTGTCCCTTCCAAAACATACAGGTGCCATCAACAAGCATATGCATTCTCCAGCTGCGCACGGATACTCAACGCACAATGTTGCACGCGGAGGAGGATATGCAGGAAGAGGCCGCAGCCGTGGGAGGGGAGGTGTAACAGTACCTATTGGATCTTTCAATAGGAAACTGACCCTTAATAACGCTACAGCTACTCCTTCACCACCTGCGTCCCCAGTCATTATTCCACGCCCGCTTTCAAGTCCTATGTCCAAGTCTATGTCTATGGTAAATCCGATAAAGTCTTTCATGCGTCCTCCTATGCCTTCTCGCCATCTTGCTTTGATAAATAACAGTAAGACAACAGGAACTACAGAACTTTCCGGAACTTCGTCGCTGTCACCTTCAGGGTTAGCTACCAGCCCATTTATTGCAAGATCAACATCTTTAGCATCGACACCATCAACGTCGTCGACGTCAACATCCGCTCTGGCATCACCTGCTGCAAGTCCCTCGACGCCGGCGCTTACTCCTACCGCAAGTCCAAAAATTCAACAGCAGCAACTCCCTCAACAACAACAACAACAACAATGGATTCAGTCAAAAGGCAAGAACATGTCATTAATGAGTCCGGCTTCTTACAAAAAGACTATGGAAGCTAAGCAAAAGTCAATCAAGTCCTCAAAGGAAAAGAAACTTAAACTAAGGCAAGCTCAAGCCAAGTTGGCAAATGAACGTCGCAGTGGTATTGTCACTGTTGGTGGCAAGCAGTACAAGAAAAGCCTTGATGGGCGGAAATTAGTCATGCGGGATACGTCACAGGATTCTATTGTCATCAATGGTGTGGCATTCGAGATGGATCCTAGGGGAAATAAATTAGTCCGAAAGTCAGGAACATCAACTTCTGATTCATCAGTGCCTTCACCTTCTACTGCTGTAACTCTGCCCAAAAAGGCTACGTCAGCTAATACAGTCGCATCAGGAATACATGGAGCGACACCAAAGCAATTCTCGATAGGGGGTGTTATCTATGTACGTACTAGAAATGGAAATCTGGTCCGTGCAAAACTAGTCGAGAACAAATTGCGCAAGAAACGGTAAGTCAGAAAAAAAGAAAAAGAGAGTCAAGGTCAAAAAAAAAAAAAAAAAAAAATTCCTAAAAAACCTTTTTTTTAGGGTTACACAAGAACAATTGAAACAGAAAAGTAAAAAAGTATCGGTTCCCAAGAAACCTCGGGCATTCTGCAAGTTCTTCACTCGGTTTGGTAAGCTATTCATTCTCTGGAAAGGACTAGAGTGTCTGCAAGTATCTTTGGTCGCTATTACGGCGAGCCTTTAACAATTGAAGGCAATATCTTTCTGAAAAAAAAAAAAAAAAAAAAAAAAAAGGAAATGTGTACAAATGGTTTTTTTTGTTTCTTTTTTCTACATTTCGTTACGTTCTTTCGGGGAACGTAATATTTACTTTATAATTCTAGGTCGATGTTCCAAGGGGTTTACATGTCCGTTCGTACATTCCAAAACGCATCTTGCGATTTGCAAAAAGTTTCTTCGTGGTACATGTCCCAATACAGCCAATACCTGTTATCTTTCTCATACACCTTCTCCACATAATACCCCTGCATGTGCTCATTTTCAACGTGCGGCATGTAACAAGGATAATTGTCTCTATCCCCACATCAGAATTAACCCACAGGCACCCATTTGTAGACCGTTTGCAAAGGAAGGGTGGTGTGATGCAGGAGCCAACTGTAAGGATCGTCATGTCTGGATTTGTCCTGACTTTGGGACTCCGGCTGGCTGCACGAAAAAGTGCGGGCTTGCTCATGTAGCCAACGGAGGTCTCAGGGTGAAGAGGAATGCAGAAGAGATGGGGAAAGAGACAGATAATAACGGCGATGACAACAAGAGGAGGCGTATGGATTCTGACCAACGCTACAAATCTGTGAGACGCTATATGGAAGGCTCTCAGGAAAATCAGGAAGTAAAGGATACATTGGAAACAAAGAAGCTTGTGTATGATGAAAACTTTGTACCGTTTGATGCTGATGAGGAAACTGAAGAGGTTCAGGATATGAGCGAACAAGATGAAAATGAGGTGATGGGTGACTTTGAAGGTAATCAAGAGGGTGAAGAGGATGAAGAGGATGATGAAGAGGATATAAGCAGCGATGAAGTTGGAGAAAGCGATGAGGAGGTCGAGAGCGAGGACGTAGAGGAAGACGAAGACGATTTTGAAGATGACATAGAAGACGAAGAAGAGGAGAAGAGACAGACTAGCATCTCTGAAATGGAGTGTGACAAGGAGGAAGAGGAGGAGGATGAGAATGAGAACGAGGATGAGAACGAGGATGCAGATTTCCATGGCGAGCTTCAAAGATTCTACGACGAGCAAGACAGTGACAGCCGTGATTATTACTAACCTAGTGATCCATCCTAATGATTCTCACCAGCCATGTGAGGGTCGTACCTAATTCAAGCACTTGTATATTTTGTATTATGCGGCTCTCACCTGTATTGCTGTGTTTCATTGTAGACTACCATAGCATTATGCATTCACGCGTTTATTATTAAAAAAGCAATTTAGCAAATAAGGAAAAAATGCATTGTCAGACTATCCCGTCATATACGGGGATATTCTTAATTGACTTTGAAACCACTATTTTGCTTTATTTTTATTTCCAAGAAGGATTACTATTTGCCACAAGTATGATGCCGTATGATGATGGCCCAGGGAGGCATCATCACCCCTGAGAACATGTTATATATATATGTATCTTATGGGTAGAGGAAAGAGATCTTTATTCAAGAGTCTGATCTGAATATGCTCATGTCAATAAAGACGTGTATATATAAAGATTGACATGGTTTTCTGCAGGGTCACACACAGCATATTGCGTAACAGATGTCAATACAGCAATTGAGAGCAGAAATGGCACCATTCTTGATGCATTACATTTATTATACACCGCAAACAAAATATAAAAGATCTCTCTATTTTTCTTTCTCCGTGTGATCTACACCGGTCATTTAAAATGTATTATATATAAAATGTTATACAAATAAATCTATTAAAATAAACAAGTAAAAGATTATGTTTTTGGCAGTGCGTCTGTTTTGGTTACAAGGACCGTTGCAAAAAAAAAAAAAGATGCAATTTTTCCACGTTGCCTTGACTCAATCCAACGTCAAATAGCGTTTAAGATTCAATAACCACGTTGTCAAATTATTGAAATTGCCCTCCAGATTCCTCCATCCTTGAGTGTGTGCATAAACAACCACTTGAAGTAGTATTGGAAGATATATATAAAAGGACTCGTTAAAATATAATAATTCATGTTCTTTGGACTGCTCACTTGCCTCAATCCTTTTTGTTTATTGGAATAGAAGCTTCAGAGCAAAGAAATACCTCATACTCATTCTGGCTTCCGCCTTGTCGACTTTATATTTCCTCGAGACTTTTATTCTAGATCCTGATGGAAAAACCCTCAAAGGTATTAAAAACGTGATCTCTTTGAGGTGATTTACCATATCATGGCGCTATCTGTTTATGTTGGATGTATAAGTTGAACGTTGATTTTATTCACCCGTCTTTTTGTTTTATCCTCATCGTGTCATCTCATGCCATACTATGCCATATTATATATGACATATCATTTCATGTCATATCGTATAACTATCGTGCTTTTTTTTTTTTTTTTTTTTTTTGGCAATTAGGAATGCAACATGTACACCATGCATTGCGTATCGTATCGAGAATCTTATGCTCACTGATCCTTGTCTTTGGACATCTATGTAATCTATGTATATCCGTGAATACGTATAGTGCATTATCTGATTCCTTCCTTACTTTTAGTCTTCCCGACTAGGACTTCATCCTCCGTTAGGATGAGATGAATGCATGGACATTTCATATTATGTAAATGTAAAACCAAGGGAAACAAATGTGGTCGATGAAATTTAAATAGACAAAAGATGAAGATGAATAACATACATAAAAAAAGGAACAGCTGTGCGTGCCTGTTGCTCTTCCTTGAACTTGCCAATCTACATTCTACATCTATGTGAGTTTTTTTATTTTTTTTTATTTTTTTTTATTTTTTTATCTGTATCTGTCTCCATTGCGCTGCTTATAGCTGAGCTCATTTTCTTTTGCTAACATCAGCCATCCCTGTGGACTATTAGTATATGCATTCGGTGTTCAATCGATTTTTTTGTTCACCAATACTCACTTTGGGCGTAGATGACACCATGCTGCTCACACGCGCCATTTTCCATTTTCCTTTTCCCTTTTTTTTTTTCCCTTTTATCTTTTTCGTTTTCCTTTTTTGAATTACATCTTTTTTTTTAAAAATCTTTGGTTGATCCCTTTCGTTGTCGTTATGTACATGTACTCTCAATTGAAGAGCGGGATGGATGCGGTTACTAATTTACTAACAGGGCGCTTCAATCAGGATAGGAAATATACACTCGCTAATGCATTTCAATAAAACACCGTGCTCATTTTTTACGGTCCTTCTCAATTCCCCCCCTTTTTTTTTATATCCTGCGGTTAATCAGATTGAGAATGAGATGGACAGTTTTTTGAAATGGCGAACTTTTATTCTATTGTCTTATTTTATTTTACAGTATTTTACAGACAATTGGTTATTTCGGCTATGGTATATAAACCATGGAAGAAGAGATTCGACATCCCTCCATCCCTCTATCCCTTCCATTTCCAACCTCTGCTCCTTCCCCTCGTACGCGCCACCCAAACGGTCCTTCTCTTTTTTTATATTCTTACTTTACTTTAAACTTTGCTTTATTTGCTTATATAGGTGTATACTTTTTAATAGCCTGCCTACACTGACAATCAACCACATCTCCTTTGACGCATTCTTTCTTTCGCCCTTTTCTTTCTTTCTTTCTTACTTTTATTCTTTCCAATCACGTCCTTCAACTATTCTACTCCACTCTATAGCACTCAGCACACAATTGTCTCAACATTTCGCTCACTCTCTTTCTTTCACTCTCCAACGCTTTCCTCAATTTCTCTCGTCTCTCTCTTTCTATTTCTCGCCCCCCTCAATCCTCTCTGCCTATTCACTCTTCCTTCCCTTAAAACCTCTTCTCCTTAAACCTCTCTCTTTATCACCTCTTAACATCTGCCCAAATCCAGCTCACCAGCTGTCTTCTCTCTCTCCCTCTCTCTTTCTCTCTTTCTCTCTCTCTCTCTCTCTCTCTCTTACATTCTCTCTCTCTCTTACTTCCTCTCCCGAAACTATCTTCCACAAAACACATCTCTTATAAAAGGAGAGGTTGTTTGTTGATCCTCATCCATACAGCAAAAAAAAAAAAACATCCTCATTAACCCTCCTACTCAATTACGGTCACAATCACCATAGCGAACAAAAAATATTGCTACGGTCTTTCTTTCTCTCTCTATTTGCAACATTTCCATGAGTGCTGCTTCGCCCATTGCGGTCGATATAAGGATGGAAGAGCTTGTGGGTTCATTATTGACGGGGGCGTCCATGATCCTGACCATCCATTCACTCTCCCGGATGATCTTCTTGAGACGGACCGGATCAAAATATCATCTTTTTCCGATCATCAACATCACTCAGTTGGTGAACCAACTCTGTGTTTTCTTCTTGATGACCATCCCCTTCGGGACCGTTTCCTTCCAAGCGGCCCTTTGGTTAAATGTGATCAACAATATTGCGTATTTCATCACGAAGCCCGTGACAATGTATCTGGCCTACTTGCGATGCTCAGCTGTGTTTCCCTCGTTTCGGAAACTGGATTGGTTACATTATCTCCTGATTGGCTTCCGAGCTCTGGAGTTGTTCATGATTGTGATTGTGAACATCCTTCAAAACTATTGGTGTAATGGATCGGTCGCCGAGGGAACCCGATGTGAGAAGTTGGCAATCGCATGGTTGTTTCGAGATGCTGGGGCCCCTGTGTTCCGATTTTACTATATTGTCTGTGAGGGGATTTTTTATGTAGTCTTGTTCAGGACCTTGACAGGGATGAGCTCGGGCAAGAAGAACACACAGTTGGTTCAATACCGTCGATTACAGACCACGTTGTTCACAGTAGATTTGGCCTTGTTGTTGTTCATGTCGATCTATCGGATCATTGGTATCTTTGACAAGACTCTACCGACTTATGTCTACTATGAGTTGTTTTCCTCCACCTTGACCATCTTTAACCTCACAGAGTTTGGTCTCAATATCCGGATCCTTTTCAACACTGTCACGGATCCAAAGGCCGGATCTGACCATCATTCCAGTAGCCCAAGCAAACTTGAAATGGGTTCGATCCATCGTAATGACACTGCTAGTGGCAGTCGCAGTGGCATTAGGATTGGTAACGATAATAGTAATGGTAATGGTAGCGGCAGTCCTGGGGGCAGTGATGTTGGCCTAGGCATGGGTATGAGCATGAGTTCGAGTACGGCTGCTGCAACAACGGCCGGGGCAGGGTCTTTCAATGGTGTACGATGCTACGATCGCCCCATTGGTCGGAAAGGCAGTAGTGATTCTCTTCCCAAGAGACACAACTCCACGTCAGCCTTGACGTCCCATATAGCCGACACTGGTTATTATAGTGATTATGATGCTACAGCGGTATCAACACCTTATCATCAATCACCTCGAAGCCAACCTGCAATTGCCATCACACCGATCCAAGAGTATGATGATTTCATGCCTCTTGGAAACTTGTTCGGATCACCACTACCATCACGACCTTCCATATTAACAACAACAGCAACAGCAGCAACAACAGCAACAACAGCAACAACAGGTGCCTTTATTGCCCATCCATCTTCACCAGTATCAACGGATAGTGCATCACGATCTCCTACACTTTCAATGTCAATGTCTGCTGGTGGAGGGTTTAGGACTATCTCTGGCAGTACTGGTAGTAGCAGTACTAGAGGTGATGGTGGTGGTAGAAGTAGTCATGGTGGCCCTAGCAGTGATGGTAATTCAATGTCCCAGGACAAACACATCATCACCCCTATCGCCTTCCAAAACCAAGCTCAGGATGGGTTCCATGACTTCAATGGCCTCAACAGGACGGCCGAAGGCAATTGGAGGAATAGTGAAGTGACAAGGCCAATCAAAGCACTAACATCTGATTCGATATCGATATCGCGACACGTCTAAATATACAGACATACACATACATATGCATATATACACACATCTCATTTCACATATACTTTATCTTTATTTTAAAATACCTTAATTTTGTATAGCTCCACTTCACTAAACACATGTTTATCATTATAGCTTCCATTCGTTTATTATTATTGTTATAGTTAGTATTATATATATATATATATTATTTAGTTATAGATAAATCATTTCCTATTTCCTCTCCCCTCTTTCAGGGGACATCCCATGTAGGGGCACTTTGCATTCAATATACGCGACATTTGACATTTGTACACTGTCATGGGTCAATTTAACCGTTTCTTTGTTTGCATTTTATTTTTATTTTTATTAGAATATATATTATTATTACAGTTTCCTTTACCAAGTGCGAGAGAGTTCAAACTAATATACTTTTCAATATTGTTTACAGGGAGAAGAATCAAAAAAATAAAAAAATAAAAAAAAAAGATTGAAGAACAATAAAGTGCACGCGTTTAAAAACAAAAAAAGGAGGACATGAAAATAACGTTGCATGAATTCAAAATAACAATGAACACAAAGAATATACGAATCAAAATACAGAAAATCAACATTAACGTTTCAATGAAACTCTATTAAAGAGGGCGTACGCAAGCAGAAACAATTGAGACAATCCCCCCCCCCCCCCCCCTTCCTTTTAAAAGCCTGCGTTAGAAAAGGCTCATCGAATGGCTCTTGTTCCTGCTGCTGATACTAGAAGTAACTTGATTGGATGTTAAAGAGGATAGTCCACGAACCTTGCTTTGGGCCTCAGCAAGGAGCTGTAGTAAAGGATCGAGTCTTTCTCCATTACGCTCAATAGCTGATAGTCGAGTGCCAAGGCGTTTGGACACTCTGTTTATCTTTGGATCTTGATCCGGCTGTTATAAAATAAAAAACAAAAATAATCACAAAGAAGAGCAATAATGCATGTTAGCCCAAAAAAATTGGCAATGCTTCATGATTCGAATTGTCGATGCATGCAGTTTTTTTTTTTTTTTCTTTTAAAAAAAAAAAAAAAAAAAAAAATTTACATTGTATGTTTGGTCACGAAGCTCTGCTTCTGAAAAATCTTCGTCCCGTGCGAGAGGCATTAGAGCCATTAACCTTTGGTCCGCTGCTGAAAGATGGTTGTAAACTCTGTCTTCTGTTGAGGAACTTAATGTCGCTAATGTCTCTTTGGAAATCCCTCGATGCGATCCCTCGTGCAGCAGGAAGTGCAACTTGTGTCGCTGAAGATCTGCGTTGTGTGAATCCAACATGCGTTTCTGTTCTTGAAAATTCTCTAATTCTTGCTCCTCCCTCTTTTCCAGACTAGTATTAATGAAATAAAAACCATTTTAGGATTCAGCTGCCGGAAAAAAAGAAAAAAAAAAAAAAAAAAAGACATTCACTTTGGTAGCTTTCCAATCATTTCCCACATTATAGACATACATTTGCTCTTGCTCGAGTCGCAGCTCTAAATCTCGTATCTGCTCAAGATCAGATACGAGCATGGCTTCCAGTTGTCTCTATTCAATTAATAAGAAAAGGTATTATAAGGAGACGTTATATTGACTCACACAATATCGAAATGTATGCTTCATCTATATTTTGCTTTTACATTTTGGGCAGCGAGCTGCGGATAGTTGGGTCGATCTTTTCTTGGCGGAGGCACATTCAATTCACTCAGACGGTCATTCATCCTTGAATAGGTTGCAAACCAGGTAAGGTTAGCTTTTCTTCATTTTCGAAAGCATAAGGAAAAGAAGATAAATAAAGATAAATAATAATAAAAGCCCTTTATAATTACTCACTTTTGCATCAGGCGATTCAACGCCGTCTGAGTGGCGATTTTTCGTTTTTCTCCTCGCGCTTGTGATATTGCAGCACTACGAGCAATTGACCATGATAAAGAGGAAGAAAAGGTGAAAAAAAAGGCACAACACCAGAATAAAAAAAATAAAAAAAAAAAAAGCTTCTGTGCTTACGGAAAGAGACTGGCGATCATGGATTGAACATGTGTTCGTGTTTTAATATTGATAGGCTTCCAGGTCTTTGTGACTGTTGCTTTGGAGACAATGCGCAGAGTTGGTCGCAACCTCAATTGATGACCCGCTCCTTCTTCAGACTCGTTTTCTTTAGCACCACCATCATTAGCATCATCATCACTGCTACTAGAGGTGCTTTCTTCATCAGAAGATATCTGTGCCGGCTCTTTCCCCTTTCCTTGCTCCTTTTCTTTTGTAGTTGTAGACCCTGAAGATGCTGGTGCTGATGTTGTAATCGCTGCTGTTCTTCTAGTTAACTTTGTTGATGCCAAAAGAGGTTTCGATGTCGGGATTGATGATGATGATTTAGATCCTTTAGTTTTGATAGGAACTACTTCCTTTCTTGACGATGAACCTGGTGCTCCTTCTGCCTCCGAGTCTACTTCAGATGACGCTCCTTCGACCTCTGAGCTTGGTTCAGATGTAGAATCTCTATTCTCCTGAGGCAGATTTCTATCCCCTTGAGAGGTCGATTTTTTAGATATTCCTTTTGTCTTTGAGTGGTTGGTTCTTGAGGATGAAGGTCTGGCGGAGTTGAGGGCAACTTGCCGCTGAGATCTACTCCTGGTTGTTACGCCTGTCTGTCTTTTGTTGACCTTTCCCTATTGAAAATAAGATGAATGCTCATATCAAAATTTTATATTCACATTTGGTGGCGTTATGCACATCTGGGCAGCAACAACCTTTTTTTACGGTAAATGTAAAAAAAAAAATACCATGAACACACACCATGATGAGTCCAAAAGATTTTGTGATGAAGAGAAAAAAAAAAAAGAAAAAGAAAAAGAAAAAGAAAAAGAATAAAAAGTAGAGGATGGTTAAATTGAATGGAGGTCGATGGTGAGAGATGGAATGGAAGAGCTAAAAGGAGCCGAAAGGGAGGAAGACCACGCGTGAACGAGCACGAGCACGCGAGGTAGTCTTGTGGGCCCTGTCTGTGCAGCACAGGATCACCTAAAAAAAGCCACATTTTATTAAATTTGTGTGCTGTGTGCACTTTGTTTGAACAGTGAAATAGATAATGCATTAGTTCAATTTAATTCAATTCAATTCAATTAATGGGTCTCTGACCAATTTTTTTATATATCTTGTCCCTGTCTCTTCGCGTTGTCTTTGGTCATCTCTCTTTCATTCTTCATCTTTTTTTTTTTTTTTTTTTTTTTTTTCTCTTCTTCTCTTCTTCTCGTTTTGTCATACATTCATTCTCCTTCATTACTTTTTCTTCCATTTTCTCTTCTTTTTCTTCTTTTTCATATTCGCCCTCCCTCAGTTCCATCATTTCACCTGTTCAGCCATGACATCTAGCGACAATATCATTTACCGTGCAGGTAAAGTGTTTTTTCTTTTCTTTAAACTACTCGATAACGGAGTGGAGTATGCAGCGTTAGCACTTAATTTTATTCACAAATTACGTAAAACAAAGCATGTCTAATGTTTATTATTCCTTTGCCAATGCTGCCGCTCCTCCCCTTCTCTCTCGGAACAACTCAGGTGTCGATTATGAAAGTAGACCGATGGTAGTGATTTGTGCCTGCAACCTACCGGACCCAGCCGTTGTAGATTACGATACCATCCTCAGGTAACATTCACTGCCACTTCATCTAACAAAAGAGTTGAATCATAAAGTGTGGTATACAACAAATTACACAAAATTTTTAACATTGTGTCTCCATCATCTTTTTTGTTTACCTTTTTTTTTTTAGAATTGTCCTTGCACAATTGGAGCAATTTGTAGAGAATGACTACACAGTGGTCATGTTTTCAGGTGGAGCATTGTATCGTCCTGGATGGAAGTGGCTCTTTACAGCATACCGGAGCTTGAACCGCAAGTATGGCACATTCATGTCAACTATTGCTTGCTACACAAAATCACAAGCAAAAAGAGAAAATAAGGGAGAGAGAAAGAAAAGAGAGAAAGGGAGAAATAGAGTCGTAGGCGCAGAGGAATACCCGAGCGATTTTACTCATTTCATTTCTCTCATTTCTTCTTCAATTGATACCATATTTTAGTCACAAGAAGAACCTGAAAGCCCTGTACATTGTCCATCCTTCAACCTGGCCAAGACTCATTCTTGGAACCATGAATTCTATTATCAGGTGTGTTTTTTTGTTACTTTTTTTTTTTTTTTTTTTTTTTTTTTTTGTTTTCCTAATTGATTGAGTACAAAACACAGTTGCATTAACTCTCTTTTCACACATGACATTGAAACATTATCATGTGCCCATTACTTTATAGCCCTAAATTCGGAGCCAAAGTCCATTATATCGATACCCTTTCTCAGCTGGCAACAGTCGTACCTCTCAATCAGATCAACATTCCTGCTGCAGTATACAAGTAAGTGTTTTTTTTTTTTTTTTTTTTTTGTCAAAAATAAAGAGTCTCCACTGTGTGCTTTGATAGCGCCTTCATTTCATGGATAACCCTAAAGTTTTTAATATTAAATAACTGATTAATTACAATTTTTTCACGGTCTAATCATCTATTGCAGACACAACCTTAAATTTGAAGATACAATTACTCTTCCAGAGGATCAACAGGATCATGCTAATAGAGTCTTTGGAGCACCCCTGGATCGACTCATGGGACCCAATGGAGAATTAGGCCTTCCACCTTTTATCCGGGACTGCATCCAAAACCTCATAGAGAATGGACTCTATGTTGAGGGACTTTTCCGTCGTAGTCCTAGTTCAGCCATGTTGAAACAAGTACGCGCTGCATACGATCGTGGCAATCCTGTGGATCTTTCAGAATACGACATTCACATCTCGGCTGTGTTACTCAAGTTGTTCCTGAGAGAACTACCAGAGCCATTGTTCCCCATGTCAGTGTTTGAAAGGATGAAGCGCAAGAAGGATGAGGAACACAATAGAAGCAACAAGACTAATGAGGATGACAGTGGAGAAAAATCAATCACGGTGATCGAATTTATCAAGACAGAAATCATTAGTCAATTGTCACAGAACAGTTTAATATTGGCAATGGAGGTCTTTAAGCTACTGAGGATGGTAGCAGACAGACATGAGTCCAACAAGATGACACCTTTCAATTTGGCAGTAGTGATGACACCCAACATTGTGCGGCACCAAGATGTTATGCAAGAGATTGAAATGTCTGCTGTTAGCGGACAGGACAAGGATTCGTTGCTCTTGAACGGATCGGCACTCCTGACACTTGGAACGGTGGTGAGGATCATGATTGAGAACTATGAAGCAATCTTTTAGAACTCTCGTTTCTTTTCATTATGTAACATATTAAAGCACCCCCATTTTTTTTTTTTTTTTTTTTTTTTTTACAAGCGAAAAAATAAAAAAAAGAAACCCCATTCCATCTAGCAAGGACTTTTTTTTTTTTTTTTTTTTTTTTTGGAATTATATACTATGTTTATTTTTTCTATTATTACAAAATAGGTACTAGTGCGTTTTCTATAAAAAAAACTTTTCTTTCTTTTTTTTTTTTTTATTCTTTCCTTTCCTTCTTTGAAAGTAAGAAAGAAAAGAAAGAAATAAAAAAAAAGGCATGTTTGGAAAACTGTTGCACATATTTTCATATATAAACGATATAGGGAGAGAGTGGTGTGTTTTGTGCGTTTCTCACTCTATACCACCTTCTTCTATCCTTGCATTGATGAATCAAGGGGTATAATTTTTTTTTTTTTTTTTTTTTTTACTTGTGCGAAGCAACCTTGGAATCAGGGAGACGGACCTCCTTGCCCTGAACATAGATCTTTTCATTGTTGCGGTCATCTCCAACAAAGAGATACTTCTCAAACTTTGTTTCGATAGAATCATGATCAAAGACATCGACTGGTGAGTTATCGGCGGAGGTGTTGACCAAGATGGCATCAAATTCCTTTCCGATTTGGAAATTTCCGATAGTATCTTGAAGTTCCATAACACGGGCACCTCCCATGGTGGCCAAGTAGAACAACTCTGTGACCAGTAATGTGGTGTCCGCATTACGAGCTACGGAGCAAGAGCGCGAAGCACGAAGGGCTTCGAGGATCGAAGGGGAGTAACCGCCTGCGACATCTGTACCCAAGCCAACCTTGATATCCTTGTTGATCATCTTGCGAACATCAGCCATTCCAGATTTGAGGTTAAAGTTGGAGTTGGCGCAATGAGAGATCCCAGCGTTCTTTTCCTTCATCAAGTCGAGCTCCTCATCCTTCATATGAACACAGTGAGCCATGATGGTCCGGTCGTTCAACAATCCATGATCAGCGTAGACTGCGGTATAGTTGACAGATTGAGGGAAGAGAGACATGGTGAAACCAATCTCGTTCATGTTTTCACACAAGTGGGATTGAATAGGGAGGTTGTATTCCTTGGCCAATTTGCCCAGTTCGGTCAAGAGGTCCGAAGTACAAGAGATGGCGAAACGAGGGGTGATGATGGGAGTAATCAGGGGTTTGTGATTCAGTTGAGCATTTGTTTTGTTGACATACTCGATGAAGGCTCGAGTGTCTCGAACAGAGGATTCAGTGGTCTCGATCAAGAAATCGGGGCTGTTCTGGTTCATGTTGACTTTGCCGACGTAAGCACGTTGGCCTTGCTCCTGAATGATGTTGACTAACTCCTTACAGGCGTCCAAGTGGATGGTGGCGAACCAACAGGCAGATGTGGTACCGTTCCGGAGTGAGCGGGCCACGGATTTGGTATAGAGCTTGTGAGCGTACTCCTTGTCCGCAAACTTGGACTCACGAGGGAAGGTGTAGGTGTCGAGCCATTCCAGTAGAGGCAGATCGTGTCCATTGCCACAGAATGTGTACTGAGGAGCATGCTAAAAGGAAGGGGAATAACAGATAGATGTATATATTTAGGAAGAGACTTGTGATGAATCAGGTCTATTATTATTATTATTATTATTATTATTATTATATTAATATTATTATTATTATTATATATTATTATTATTATTATTATATTATTATTATTATTATTATTATATTATTATTATTATTATTATTATATTATTATTATTATTATTAGTTATTGTTTTTGAACTTACAATGTGGGTATCAATGAATCCAGGGATAATGAACTGATCATCGTTCAAACGGACAACCTAATAAGGATTTGGGAGGCATACAAAGCGTTAATTAGGGGAGGGAAGATTATATAATATAGATAACAGGATGGTGTAAATACATCGACAGCAGTATGTTTTTGCGGGGCAAATAGAGTTGGGCGTATGTCAATGTCAAATCAAACATGGATGTTTTCGTCCTGGGTTCATTGTGACACAAATCTGTGTGTCGCAATCATTTGTCTCTTCCCTCCGAGCACCTCCGAAACCTCTTGGGGTCAGTGCAACAGTGCAGGGGCAGACAACTAATTGCTTTCACACAATAGGAAAGAGAGATAGAGGGGAGGAGAGGGCAATTTATAACGTTGAAGGCTGTGCACAGTTTTTTTTTTTGTTTGTTGTTGCTTTTTGTATGTACCCTGTCCTCATCCACTCCTTCGAGCTCAGCTTCGACCCTGTCCTCGGGCACATTCTTGACCAACTTCGCAATCTTGCCTTCGTCATCAATAAATAACAAGCCCTGTCTAATGTATTCGATCTCTTTAATGGAGAGGGAGTGGATCAAAGTGCCATAAAAGACCTTGCTGATGGAAGAAGCGAATGTGTGCATTATGTTTTTTTTTTTTTTTTTTTTTTTTTTTTTTTAAAAAAAAAAGAATGAGAGAGAAATGAGAGAAAGAAAATGGAGAGTGAAATGAGAGAGAGAGTAGAGAGTAGAGAGTGAATGAACTTAAAAAGTGCCACAAGTTAGAAGAAAGGGGAAAAGGGCAGTGAAAAGAAAAGAAAAGAAGGAAGGGGAGAATGGCAATTGTCTCTTTCTTTTTATACTAGATGAGGTTTCTGTCCAAGCTTCGGAGTTGCTCATATCAAGTACACATGTATACTGCTAATATGGAAAGAATACGATGAATGGCATTGGAGGTTTGATCTTTTTCTTTTTTTTTCCTGGGGCTTTTTTTTGCCATTTGCGGCTCCCCTCTCCGCATATTTGAGCCAATGGAAATGCAGTAATGCTTGCATTGCCACGGATGGACGTAAAATGAAATATAAAAAAAAAACTGGGTGTAAATATCATCAAACATGAAGCAGAAGAATGTCATGTTTACTACATTTTAATACGGTATCATGTTTAACTAACGCACTCCAGTAGTTCAATCGTGTGGGGAGGGGGAAAGGTTTATCGCCACAATATTAAACAATGTAAATGCAGTTCTTCCTATCTTCTTCCGAATATCGAAAAGAAAAGGAGAACAAAAAGAGAAAAAGAAAAACGCTCTGTGAATAGTAGAATCTTTGTATGAACAAGCCTATTTGGTAGAACAAGATTCATCTTTGTTCCGAAAAGATTTTTTTACTTTCATTCATTCATTCATTTGCCCCGCATTTCTTTTTTTCATATTACACAAAAATGGGAAGGTCACCCCGCATTCTTTTTTTTTTTTTTTTTTTTTTTTTTTTTATTCCTGCTTCTCTCCTGTTTGTTCAATTATAAGGCCAAGCAAACTGGGGTTTGGCCTTGCGCTGTGCTCCATATTGTGCGGCGCTTTTTTTTTTTTTTTTTTTTTTACTAAACATTCCTTTCGCGTTCAATTACACGCTAGCAGATACATATATCTTTCGGGTAATGTAGCATCCCATCATTTTTTCTGCTTTAAAAGAGAGAGATAGAAAAGAATAAATAAATAAATCTATGCACTAGGTTTTGACCGTCGAGAGTATTGTGGATTAGAACATAAAGTGAGGAGGGGCAATGATTCTATGCACTATGCGCGTAGTTTTTTTTTTTTTTTTTTTTTTTTTCAAACTCATCGAGGTATGTGCACACGATTCGATGATTAGATACAGCCCTGTTTATATCTATTCCTCGTGTCAAAGGTGGCGAAGCAAAAACTTTTTTTTTTTTTTTTTTTTTTTTTTTTCGATGGCTATATTGGCATGCATTTGCTCTCACAAGTGCATTCCACTGGATGGACAGCTATTGGTGCTCAACTCAAAGTGGGTTATATGAAAGCAATGCAGTCACATTTGTTTTTTTATTTTTTTATTCTTTCAGACACGTCTTTCACTCTTTTTTTTAAATAAAGCTGCGCCAAAGGACAACTCGATCATCCCAAAGGGCAGGCGAAGTATCCTCTTTCGTTTGAATGTTTTTGTGACAAAAACATCGCACAACACTCCATCCAGCTCTCTTTTATTTCCTCGCATGGTTTTCTGTTTTTGTTCATTGTCGTTCAAGCTCGAACACAACATCGTATTCATTCATTAGGGGGGTGAAGGGAGCATTCATGCGACATGTTTCGGCAATCTCATCCAAAGAAACAGCCACAACAACAGCAACAACAGCAGCAACCGGCACAACCACAACCTCAACAAGAACAACGGCACCAGCAACAACAACCTCAACAACAGGCATCACAGGGACACCCTATTTCGCAAACATCTGGGGCTCTCTCCAACCCTAAACTGCCCTTGCATGGGACACTTATTTGTTATACTGGATTGGCCAAGGAGGAGAGGGTACATTGGCAAAAAGCATATCACCTATTTGTCACATTCATCTCTATTCAGTATGAGATGTTGACAGTTTATCTTTTGTTTTTTTTTTTTATTTTTATATATATATATATCTTTTATTTTTCTTTCTCCCTGGGTTCTTCAAGGATGCTGTCAATGAAAAAATCAAGGCTCTAGGCGGAACAGTGAGTTTTGATCTGACTGAGGATATTACACATTTGATTGCTAAAAGAGCTGGCTCTCCAAAGTATAAGGTAATAATGATAAAACTCACTTGATTGATCGTGGCGCGCTTCTTACTTTGACATTTTACAATTTGAAGGATTGTTGCATTAGTAGTATGGAACATATTAAGAACAAAAATCAATTGATAGTATTTTTTTTTATTTTATTTTATTCTTATTTTTTGCTTGTATATATATATATATATATATATATATATATTGGCTACTAGGTAGCATTTGAATTAGGTGTCCCAGTTGTTACTCCAGAATGGATCGATCAGTTGTATACAGTGTGGAGCAAAGGAGAAATTGTCAACTTGAAGGAGGTATTTTTTTTTCCCCCCCCCTGTTTCATACGGTGTTGGACGAGAAGCAAAAAAAAAAAAAAAAAAAAAAAAAAAAAAAAAAATAATCATACCATATCATTAATATCTGATTGTCCCATTCATATTATACAGATCACAGAAAAGTATTTAACAGGGCCGTTGAAAGGATGCTCAATATGTGTAACAGGGTTTCCAGCAGGTTAGCATTTAATGTTTCATCAGAATACGCTCTTGTTGCTGTCGTCGTTGTTAGACAAAAAGATTGGGCTAAGCAAAAAAAAAAAAAAAAAAAAAAAAAAAAAAAAAAACATCATTGAAATCCTGTTATAAATGTAGATGTAAGGCAGCATATTCAAAAGGCGACAATCATGCATGGAGGGAAATACACAAAGGATTTACTGAAAGACTCGACCACACATCTGATCTGCGAAAATTCTCCAACAGACAAATACACATCGGCTTTGCAGTGGGGTATCCAATGTGTAACACGAAAATGGTTTATCGACACCTTGGCGAAAAAAGGTATCATGCTAAAAAGAATAGAAAAAGTATCTGTATTGGCGTCTTTGCTCATCAGGAGAATGGCATGTAGGCGAATATTTCAAGTATATCAGATACTGATTATCAGGACATGTCATTTTTTTGATTCACTTTAATTTATTTAGAGCGTGCGGATGAATCTCTGTACAAAGCATTACTAGAAGGTAACGTAGCACGTGAACCAGGAGAAGAAGATAAAAGGCAAAATCGCACTTCATCTATACAGTTTCATTCGCTCAACGGTGTATCCACTATGTTAATGATATAGATGGCGGGAAAAGGGCAAATGGTCAGGGCGCCAAAGAAAAACCAAAGGACGTTAACCCAGAGGATAATATTAATGATGGACAAATCCAGCCTCCAGCTGAAATGTTTCTGGAGGCTTGCCAGATCTTCCTTTGCCCTTCCATTCCAGATGCACAGGTAACACGTCTCAAGAAAATGATTCGTATCACAGGAGGGATTCATGTTACAGAATATGATCCACAAGAGGTCACACATGTCCTCGTACCATCATATGAATTGAGTCCAAGGCATGTATTTTCTCTATTTTTTTTATTTCCCCCTTCTTCTCCTTCTCCCTCCCTATTCTTCTCTTGAACGCAACATGCCAAAATGTCCTCCCTCCAACGCATTTACTTACCCGATATTTGTCCACAATGAATGCCAACAACCTTAACAGCACGCTTGCATTATTCGATGATGACTCCACTCTTCCATATATCGTGCACATGGATTGGTTACGTCGCTCAAACCGGGAAAGGAGACTTCTTCCCGAATCAGACTATATCGTACCATTCCAACGGGGTGAGGATGGTCAGCCCAGGCGTACACGTTCTGGGAGTTCTGGCACATGGACCACAGATCCTGCTTTCAAAAATAAAACTTCGACTGGCAGTAGCAGCACTAGCGCCCATGATCCAACCTCGCGTCCACAAATACGGGTCTCAGCTTCATCTGTATCTTCAAATAGTTCATCGAACACTATAGTGTCCAAGGAGACTGTACGTGATCCTGCAATGCCAGCAGATCTTCCATCCACAATATCACCACCCAACCTCTCACCACGACAAACACGCCAAGGATTGGCTGCTAGGACAGTCTCGGGGATACTATCCGATGCACTCGTTGATCTCTCTATGACAGCCACAACCCAGCGATCGCTAACAACACAAGAAAACTCGTGGAAATTAGATGTCCAACCGCTACAGGAAGAAGAGGAGGCACCCTCCTCAAACATATTTCTGGGATTATATATCACTTCATACGGGTGTAAGGCAGAGGCAAAGATCCGGGAAGAAACGATTGCTAATGGTGGGACATATTTCGATGCAGCAGAGGGCCCACCATCAGAAGCAACCGAGGCACAGGTACGAACAATCGTGCCATTGTCTATGTCATGGGAAAAGGCAAAGGGTCTCCGTGGTGTTGTCATGACTATCTGTTGGTTCGAGAGGTCGCTAGTAGAGGAAAGGGTGATTCCGCGGAGCGATCATTTCTTGTTCAAACCCTTGAGGAATATTCCTGTAGAAGGCTTTGAGCATCTGAAAATATCCATTAGTGCTAGTCAGATGGAGGAGACAGAGTATCGTCACATCCAGCGTACGATTAAGATCTTGGGGGGTGTTTGTCTGGACAAGTTACATACCGTAGAAACGGATGTGCTTATTGCAGATGCTCCTATCGGACCCAAATACGAATATATGGCCAAGCATGGTCGACCTGTCGTCAGAATGGAATGGCTTAAACGATGTATTGAAGAGGTAAGCTCATTAAAGCCAGAAAGCATCATGATGTTTGGGACCACGATTCATTAAAGCAACCTGGCTCACTAAAAGGTATTGATATATATACATATCGATACCTATATTTATATTGGCACCAGGGGAAGGCGGTACCGTTCAAAGACTTTTTATTAAAGGAAGAAGAGCCTGAAGAAATGAAAACCGAGGTTCAGGATAGTCCAGGGTGGATTCAATCAGAGAACGGTTACCAAAATGGTGAAAGTTTTCGATCAAACAGCTCCTCTTCCAACCTCACCCAGAGTCAAGTCCAACAATCAGGATCATCCAATAGGCCACTAGCGGGACTTGTCATTTGTTTACCTACTCGAGTCCTAGGAGATCACCGTGAAATGCAGGATATGGTTACTGATATGGGTGCACGCCTTATTATAAAGTATAATTCTACTGCTTCTCATTTGATACACAATGGCAAAGCGACGATGGATGCAAAGCGGGATCTTAAGAACGCTAAACGCAATAGCGCCTTTATTGTCTCACCCGAATGGCTCTATAAGTGTGATGAGACTAGGATGCGAGTAGATGAGCGTGACTATCCGGAGACGTATGATGGAAGGCATTTAACGCTAGCGACTACTACGACCCATTTGCGTTCACCACAGGATCGTCCAGCACTAGCGGTCCTACCATCTTCGAGATCTACTTCTCCATCACAAAGATCTGGTAAGAAGACGCCTGTGATAGGGTTTGGTAGAGCAGCCAGTACAGGATACGCAGCCCATCAGCATGGGACTGGATCACAATCCAGCCCGACACAGACGTTTCAGGGAACTGCAGCAGGAGCGCTGAGTGCGATATTTGGAAGTGATACAATGTCATCCTCGGCCAGCTTAGATATCTCGATACCAGTGACATTTAGTGGCCCAATGGCAACTCAACAAGAAGGGAATGGGCTCTCGGATAGCTTTATCTGGCAGCCCATGCCGATGCTTACAATGACCCGCAGTACAAACAATGGTAAAAGACGACGAAGACCGCTACCAACCCCTGGAGGTACTCAATTATCCACTACGGACATGGACCATTCTGGCATTTGTGAGGTAAAAGCTTTTTTTTTTTTTTTCTTGATTTCATGAGTTGTTTTTTTTTTGTATTTCTCAATTTTTTTTTTTTTTTTTTTTTTTTTGTTTGTTTGTTTTGTTTCATTAGACGCCTGATGTTTCGAGAGATGGATCGAGTATTCCTGAAAACTATTTTGACAAGTCCTCAGAGCGATATGGTGAAGATGCAGTGTACTGGGTCGATGTTGAAGGTCGAGAAAAGAAGCGGGCATTATTGGAATCGCTTGGATACAAAACATATAAACCAATACAACGCGAAGCGTCGAGTAGCCGCCTTGAAGCTCTTTCTCATGGTAAGGTTCTTGCAGGCTTGATAGTTTTTTGGGGGAATAGAGAGAGGGGTTGTAAGTTTTCAAACCGAATGCTTATCAGTCGCTTTTTTTTTTTCTTTTTCTTTCTACTTCTTCTTCTTCTTCTTCTTCTTCTTCTCCTTTTACTTTTTAATTACCATCATTGCTATTGTTCATGGTATTGCTCTTATTTCTGCCCTTAAAAGACATGGAGGTGCAAAGGCTTCCGGTCCCTCGATTCTACTTTATGTTGACAGGGATTTCGCTGGTTGATCGGGGGCAGTTCAAGAAGACGATCCAGGAGCTTGGGGGGGTTGTTCTGGAGGATATAAGTCAGGATCATGATGAATGGAAACGCAAGTGTACACATTTGGTGACCAATGGAAATAACCCACCCCGGACAGCAAAGCTGGTGATGGCGAAGGTGTGTGGAGCGATTATTGTGAATAAGGGATTCCTGGTAGCATCAAGGGAGCATGGAGCTTTTGTGGACGATACACCCTTTCGAGTTAAAATGTGAACAGAAAAAAAAAAAGGCAAAAGCAAAAAAAGCAAAATCTAGGAACTTAATCTTACTCTGGCTGATTGACTACGACATTACAAATCTACTTTTAACTTAACTTGCAAACAACAAAAACAATGGTAAAAAAGCAAAAAGCAAAAAGCTAAAAAAAAAAAAAAAAAAAAGTAAACTATTTCCCATCCATCGAGTTATTTTATTCCTAAAGTATGAACAACTTATTATATACAGTTATACCTTCAACACATAGTCGACATGTTTCTTTATTACACCTTGTATCTTTTTTTTTTTTACAACCCCGCAAATAATAAATAAATAAAAATGGATAATAAAATAAAAATGGGAAATAAATAAAAAATGGAATATAAAATAAGATTGAAAGATAAAATAATAATAAAGCAATGTGAATAAAAATAAAAGTAAAAGTAAAAATAAAAAAAAAATAAAAAATTAAAATGGCCTTTCATTGGCCGCCTGTCACGCGCTTGATGATTAGATGATATGAACAAATTGAAGGTGGACATTGAAATTGCTGTCTCAGGATGAGTTTAGATCTTGAGAATCGGCTCGGCACTCATGTCTCATAGTCTAGAACCAAAAACTAATAACCAAAACCCAAAACGAGCGGAGGCAGAGCAAAAGCAGTGTAAGATGTGCATGTAGGTAGACAAAAGTCTGGATTAAAAAAGCGAGACACTAGAATGTGATACAATCATCCAGGCTTCCAAGCTGAAGTGAACGGAAAACACTCTTGTCACACCACACAACACAAGCAAGCGGAAGGACAAATAAGAGGGAAAAAGGATTCCATCACGAGACACAGCGCGAGCTTTTTTCTATTATTTAATGCTATTGTATTATTCTATACTATATTGTATAAATAAATATTATACTATATTATATCATATTATTATATCAGGGAAAAAGAAAGGGAAAAAGGAAAAAATATTGTCATGGGAAGGTCAGCAAGAGAATCTTGATCTCCATATCCCATTCTTTTTTCCATTGTCCCTCATTTGCAAACTGGATCAAATCTTGCTTGAGCTCCTCCAGGACCTGGTTCAAGTTTCCGTGCAGAGTAGCAGAGTATGTCTGTAACTTCGGTTGCTGAGTCAACAGGGTCTGGAGAGCGAGTCCTATATAGTTGATATAGACATCCGAATCATCTCCATCGACACGGGCCTGCAACTGCATCATCAGCTTCTTAACGATCCTGGTCTTGATCATGGGCATGAAATGACAGATGGAAGGTGGGTTACCACAGATGTAGTCCATATTATGACAATCAGGCATGGTCCAATTGACACCTAGAGGGGGTTGTTTAACACGATAGGGGTGATTGCAATCTCCCTTGAACTTGGGCTCGTCCTTGAAGATGGTGTCAAAGACCGTTTGGAAAATAGTGACATCCCAAGCATTCTGGGCCTTGACGACGGACTCTTGGATCAACTTGATAGCATTATTGGTCTCTACAGAGGACAGCAGATCGTTGACAGGAACACCATAGAACAGACTCTTCTCGACCTTGCTGTTAAGGAGGGTGAAATAATCACCCGAGACGATTTGGTACTTGTCTGCGAAGGCACGAGAGACATTCACCTGACATTCACGTTCGCACGCCTGGACAAATGTTGGCGTAAAGGAAAGCGCCAATGAAAAGACGCCCAAGAGAGCTGCAGTTGGAAACTTCATTGGGAAAAGGGAAAAAAGAAACCTAAGAATGCATTTGTAAAGCAATGGTGAGTTGATGAGATTCCGTTTCGAGATCGTATACACGAGTAAAAATTGCCCCTGGAGAGAATGAATGAATTTGGTTGGATAAAAAAAAAATAAAATTAAAAAATAAACGATAAAAACGGATAATTGGTTGAGAAGAGAAGAGAAAGAACATACCCAGTTGGATTAGAAGAAATGAAATGAAATGAGATGGAGATGAGGATAAAAAAAAAGAAAAAAAGATGAGGAAGGGAGGATGAAGAGGGGAAGGAGATGAGGGAAGGAAGGAAGGACGGCGGTATTGGAGGGGAGAGGATGAGAGAGAAAGAGAATCAAAAATAAAAACAAAAAACGCAGTTCTGTCTCTCTTTTTATATATTTCTTTTCTGCGCATTCCTTTTACTTTTTTTTTTTTTTTTTTTCCTTCTAATAAAAGCATTTTACATAATAAGGTTTGGAGATCTGCGCCCACGGGAAGGAGCAGCATTTTATTTTGTCGATCATTAAAGAGGCTGGACCATGTCCATGTCGATCAGTGAGCAAACTTTTTATTTTTATTTGCTGGCGATCCTTTTTCATTTCTTTTGCTTTTTTTGCTTTCTTCAACAAGATCTGCCGCTCTTCTCTCTCTCTCTTTGTTTTTCTCTCTTCTCTTTTATCTTATTCTTTTTCATTCTTACTTTTTTTTTTTTTTTTTTTTTTTTTTTTTTTTTCACACAAAAACGACTTTTTGTTTTACCACGACCAAGCATCGCCATGCAAAACACAAGCACCGCCTCATGTCCACCTTTTTTGCCCATAGAATCACTCCACCTTTTTTACGAGCTATGTGAGCTCGTCGAATCAGAAAGGAAGCAAGGATTGAAGAGGGCTACTGCGCTCGCCCGACGTCAGAATCGCTTTAACCGCTCCGGGGTCACTCTTGAAACCGTCAACACCGCCTTTGATTTCTTTTATAACCTTAATCTAGGAATGCCTGAGAAGCCTAACGAGAGACCGGGGGAAAAGGAGGAACAAGCAACTGCCCAACAAAACAGCACCAATACTGAAAACATTGATGAGGACGGGAGGAAAATAAAGAAGAGAAAGCTTTCACGACATATCCGTATCTGTGAGAACTTGAACCAAACCTGGCAAGTTCCTCGGTGGGAGAAACGTGGGGATTATACAGATTCAAGAGGCGAGAGCAAGAATCAGAGTTATGGGCTGACATTCGAGCCACCTGAATGGATCCTTAATGCCATTAAAGAGATTGGGCAACGGGATATTAGTCAGGTATCTGGATCATTAGAATGGTTCCTTAATTTCATGAAAGGGAATGTGGAGCCGATATTTGGATCATCTGAATGGTCCCCTAACAATTCAACCGGAGCTGGGGAGAGTGCACATCAGAAAAACGACATAACATTAGGAACATCTGAGTCAGCTGAAGAGAGCGCGCTTCAGAAAAGAGAGATCCCATCAAGGTGGATCCTTAATGCAGCTGAAAGCACGAGTCATGATGAAAGCACAGGCCATGATAAAAGTAAAAGCAGCGCCAACAATATTGGTAATGGCACCCATAACAACAACAATGCCAGCAGCAACAGCGCAAGTGGCAACAGCACCAATAGCAACGGCACCAATAGTAGCAACACCAGTAGCAGCAGCACCAGTAGCAGCAACGCCAGTAGCAGCAACACCAAAAGTAGTAGTGGTAACAACGGTGCCAGTAACAGCAATGGTGCCAATAGCAGCAGCAGCAGCAGCAGCAACAGCAACGACGGTGCCGATAATAGCAACACCAGTAGTGGCAACACCAGTAATCGCAACACCGAAAGCAGCAACGCCAAAAGTAGCAGCACCAAAAACAACAACAGCGGAAGTAGTAGTACCAAAAGCAACAACACCAACAGCAGCAGCACCAATAGCAAGAGTACCAGCAGCAAGAGTACCAGCAACAGCACCAGTAACACCAGTTGCACACATCGATGCATCCATGACGAAGCCTCACGAGCTTTTATACCAAAGTATTACCGGGCGCTAGCGAGAGCAAAGGCTTTACAAGAAGGATCAGTACGGGGGTTATTTTGATATTTCCATGGACTGATTGATTGATTAGTTGATTGATCGATTGATGGTATTAATAAGTATAATGCGTTTCTGTCACTTCATATATTTTTTTTCTTTGTTTTCCTTCTTGATAGCCCATCGAAGAGACGGATTTAATGACTCCAATGATAAAGTTCTTGCTTGGAAGGCGCCCCGTAAAGTTCACGCCAAGCCATGATCTATTCGATGATTCACAAGATCAATACCTACCTGTAGATCTGTGAGAAGAAACAAGAGGAAATAAAGTACAGTTGATAGCTGCCTTCCCCCTTATCTTAAACGCTATGGATCGTCCACCTGTTTCTTTCATTTTTTTTTTTATTGGAGTGATGGACCTTCTAGCCAGAAACAGGATGTTTACGAGGCTCATGTTAGAGATGTATGTTTGATCTGTTTGTTGCACCACACACAACGCTCGGTCCTATTATTGACCTACAAACTTCATCATGACCATGACATTGTCTTACTCGCCAACTTGCTTGCCCTACTGTCATCTCTTTCTTCTTGTTGCAATGCATGTGTGAAAACGCTATAAACGTTTGTTTGCCTTTTATCTCTCTTCTTTCAAACACATGAAATAACGAACGACAGCAGTCTGCATTTCTCCCTCCAATTCAATTCTCTTTATCTCCTTGCTCATTTCCAAACGAATGTCGTACAACCACTTCCTGGCAACACGCATCACTACGGCTGCTACAGAAGCAGTGGTCACACATGGGATGCGAGGAGCCATTGTCTATTGTCCAAATAGAACATTGATGCGTACATCCAGGACCATAAGATTGACCGTGATTATGAATAAAGAAGCACTGCCACCCCACCAGAGGCACTAAGCGCGATTATTCATGTCCGCACCATCATCATTATCTCGATCACTGTCGTTTTTGTCTGAGAAGACAACAGTATCGAGAGATTTGGGCCAATTCGGGCTCTCGATTATTTCATCCGACTACGCTCCACAAAATATGTTAACTGCCCCGCACACAGGACAATCGCGTGTTCGGCCCACGTAACAAATGTCCCCAACTCTTGCTCTGTCTGTCACATCTCGAGCCTCGGTCACAGTTACAAAAAGCTCCTCTTTCTTTTCTTCTTCTCCTTCTTCTTCAATTTCCTCACCTCGTACACTTCCCCCGGGTTGTTCTCTTTATTGCCGTTCTCATTCAGCATCCCATTCAGCACCTCATTCAGCATCTCATCCAACACCCCATTCCTCACTCATTCCTGCCTTCAGTACTCTGGTTCGTTTACAAACCACCTTTCTAAACTGTTTTCCAACTTGTTCTACTTCCGCATCTGCACTTCCGGCCTTGGATTCCACGAACCATCTTCCTCCATCTTCTTATCACTGCCCCCAACACCATGGAACCTCATCAGCAGAGTATAGCTCAACAAATCTCAATTCATGATCCAGATACGTATTGGCATCATTTTGCATCCTTGCTTCATTGGGATGTTCCTTATTCCAAGGTGTTGACACCTGCGCCTCCTTCTTCACCTATGGATTATACTTGGTTCAAGGATGGGAAGCTCAATACGTGTTTTAATGCGATTGATCGACATGTTCTACAAGGTCGAGGCCAACAGGTTGCGATCTATTATGATTCTCCTGTGAGTAAGGAGAAACGAGCCATCACTTTTAAAGAACTGTTGAATCAAGTCCAGACATGTGCAGGTCTCATTGCCTCACATGGTGTTAAAAAAGGAGACTTGGTTCTTATCTACAGTAAGCAAAAAAAAAAAAAAAAAAAAAAACTCGTTCAAATGTTCAAGTGAAGAATGTTGCTCCCTCTCTCCCTCCCTCTTTATTTTCTCTTCAATTGCTAAAGTTCGGTTTATATTCTTCAGTGCCCATGGTTCCGGAAGCGCTGGTATCGATGCTTGCGTGTGCCCGCCTAGGAGTTACTCATAGTGTAAGTTTGGGACCAGTAGTTTGGAACAATCAAAAGTTTAAATTAATATCGTCTCGCCTCGGTCTCAAATATCAAACGAGAAACATTTATGACCCTAATAATCATTTATCAAAATGATTTGGTTAGGTTGTCTTTGGAGGATTTGCTCCGTTAGAGATCAAAAAGCGTATCGATGACAGTAAGCCCAAACTGATTATCGGGGGATCCTGTGGTATTGAGGTTAACAGAATTGTGCCTTACAAAGGTATTCAAAATAGGCAAAAGTATTTTACTTAAAAAAAAATGTACAATGTGAGCTATCCAGATCTAGCGTGGGAAAAAAAAAAATAAGAAATCCTCTCATCCTGAACTTTTTCAATATGCATTTGTGATTCTATCTATTAGCCATGCTTGATCAGGCCATCGATATGAGCGATCATAAACCAGCTTATAGGGTCATTTTCCAGCGTGAGGCAGGACGCGCAGTCTTGGATCCTGCTCGTGGTGACCTGGACTGGCATGATGAGATGCAGCGCATTCGTCTTGCAGGAAAACAATTCAAGGAATATGTCCCTGTTGAAAGCCAACACCCATTGTATATTCTTTATACTAGTGGCACCACAGGGCTACCCAAGGTTGGTTGAGATTATAGTGTTTTTTTTTCCCCCTTCATTTAAACAAGCCTACCTACTTTTCCTTGTGCCTACCATATCTTCACCGTATACCTTATACGATTGTATTTTGCACGTTTATATAATTATTATAGGGTGTGGTGCGTGATAATGGTGGACATGCAACGCAGACAATGGCTAGCATGATTAACCTATTTGGTTCCAAACCTGGAGATGTAATGTTCTGCGCTAGTGATGTCGGTTGGGTGGTTGGACATAGTTTTATCTGCTATGGACCACTGTTAATGGGTTGCTCTACAGTCCTGTATGAAGGTAAACCGATTGGAACACCTGACGCGGGCGCTTTCTTCCGAATTATTCAAGAGTACAAAGTCAACACCTTCTTCACTGCCCCAACAGCTCTAAGAGCGGTTCGACGTGAGGATCCGCATGCTAAATTGAGTGCGCAATACGATCTCAGGTCATTGACAGGGTTATTCCTGGCAGGTGAACGATCCGATAAAGGGACGATTGATCATTTCCGACATGTCATCGGAGGAAAACCTGTGGTGGATAATTATTGGTCGACCGAGTCAGGATCCCCAGTCACAGGAGCTTGCCAAGGATTGGAAGATGCTCATGGAACTAAAGTTACACCGATTGCGGTTCGGGATGGATCTGCAGGCATGCCATTGCCTGGCTATGATGTTCGAGTGTTGACAGAACCCGAGGATTCAGCTACAGGTTATCGAATCACAGAATTGGGACCGAACAATTTTGGAAACTTGGTGATCAAACTTCCTTTACCGCCATCCGCTTTGCATACGCTTTGGAATAACCCTTCAGGCTTCCACAAGAGCTACCTATCTAGGTTCCCGGGCTACTATGATACAGGAGACGCAGGGATTATAGATGAGGATGGGTATGTGCATATAATGTCACGAACGGATGATATCATGCAAGTAGCGGGACATCGAATGTCAACAGGATCGGTCGAACAGATCCTGGCGGAGCATCCGGCGGTTTCAGAATGTTGTGTGGTACCGTTGTCAGACAAATTGAAGGGTCAAGTACCAATGGGTTTAATCGTCCTGAAGTCTGGAGTGACCGAGTCAGAAGAGGAGATTAAGAAACAAGTCACTCAGATGGTTCGAAACAATTTGGGAGCGATTGCAAATTATAATCAAACATATGTCGTCCATCGATTGCCCAAGACCAGGAGCGGAAAGATCTTGAGAAGGACTATTCGAGATATCATTGCAGGCAAATCCTTGGAGAACAAACAGTTGGTGGTCCCAGCAACGATCGAAGATGTGACAGTCTTGAATGAATTGGAGGAAGTGATGCGCAAATTGGGCTTGGTTGGAAATGATGGTGAGGGTGGTAAAGAGGACGATACGGTCAAGCCTAAGGATGTCGTCGATGCACCAAGGGCCAAATTGTAAACAAAAAAAAAAAAAAAAAAAAAAAAAAAAAAAGGGTTCATTATTTGATAGCAGAATTATGATAAGTCATACGAAATAAAGTAAACCTGCTTTACAAAAGATGTGTTACTTCAGAATCCATGAACATTGTTTTTCCAACGTAGTAAACTTAAGACTCCTTTCGGAGGAGCTGGGAAATGTAACACGTTGGTAATGGCGCCTCGATTGTTCCTTTGGATTTATGGCTCACGGATCGCTCACAGTGCACATATTAATACTGTCTCAAGTATGTTTAAAGGTAGTAAGCACAAGGACTATCTTTGCAGCGAACAAAACTCTTAATCTGGACATTATCAGAGTTTGTCATGGTTATCAAATATTGTTAAGGGCACGGGCTTTCAAATATTCGTTCGTTGATTTATCTTTTGATTACGATGGTTCATATCTTTGTTGAAGGACAGATTCCGACCAATATTTACGCGTTCATTGGCGGTGAAATGGCTGAGAAGGAGTTGTTCTTTCTACACGTAAAAACAAGAAGATGACTGGATATATACCTGTACCTTTTTTTTTTTTTTTTTTTTTTTTTTTTTTTCAAAACCAAAAACTACTACATTTGTTAACTGTGTAATCAGAAAGATTTCTATATCTTTACAAACAGAAAGATATTCAACGAATATCATATTCCCACATGCCATGCGAACAAAAGAAAAATATATGCAACAGGGCATGCCACCTAGCAATTTGTCTTGATACTATTGCTGTTAGAGACAAAGACTTGAGCTTGCAATCAATCGGTTTTTTAAATCCTCGAATGGCAACCATTATTAGACTAGAATGAAGACTTGGCAACATTCTTCTAGCGAAAAAGGAGCTGGAAAGGTGTTTTGTTTTGCTTTAGGCTAGAGGAAGTGATTGAGGCCAAAGGAGTACCAATGTTCCTCAACACCCATGGTACTGAAATATTCCACAAGCATTTTAATCGTGCACGTGAATTAATGGTTGAAGAAACCCTGTAACGAACGGAAATTTGGAACAACAAGCCCTCAAACTCGTGGGGATCCAAGTCCTCATTCATCAGGGCATTAATAGAATCTTTAGGGAGTAGCGCCTCTCTCTATATGTCTAGGAGAGCCTCCTCTGCCGGTGGGCATAAGAAATAGTGCTCAACTCTCTTATTAATCCAACTTCGATAAATCAAGCCAAGATCAATGAACTTAGGTTCGTTCAATTTCTCCTTAAGGTCCAGTGCCCCACGTATATCTGGGCGAAATATTGCAGATAGAGCAGAATGTTGAGGATTTTGTTGGCCCTCACTGAGTGTATTGAAGTATTCCTTTGATTTTTTATAGAATGTGTTGCACCGCTCCGATTCGAATCTGCCGATCCTTTGTTGAATGGTACTGTCATCAAGTCCGCTGGCATCACCAATATAGTCTATTAATTTAACGACCTCTCTTGGGACATTATTGGTTACTCTCTCTACCTCCTTTATTACGGCATCCCTCGATGGCAAGACACTCAAAGATAGAGTCCTGTCGAAGATATTGTTCGATAAAGGCCCAACAAACTCCACCCAATTCTCGATGTCATACGAGATGTAGACTCTTTCATGTGAAGCATGTACCGTCCCTGTGAAGACAACCCGAGCGCCATTCTTATCCCGGGGCCATAAAGTTAGGTGCATTCATGGGCTCAAAAGGTCAGGCTTTTACCCATTGTCCTTGCGGAAAAGTTCGCCATGTTCATCAATGATTACGAGAGTTTTCTTGCTCTTTTGACAAAGTATCTTGGACAAAATTATCTCGACGGCAAAAACTATGGGATCGTCCTTAGAGTTTTCGTCCGGCATCAAGGTTTCAAGGCCTAAAGTAGTCAACAGGCCCTTATTAAGGACAAAGGATCGGAGGCATATTTCGTTAGTTGCTACAACGACAGCCGACTTGGCTAGTGCAGCGGCATTCGCGACATAAAGTGTTGGCCAGCCTTCTGCATACGCTTTTGCTGCAAGGAATATTGCAAGGTAGGATTTGCCGACACCCATCAGTCCAGCCAATACCCTCTTGATTGGACCATCGCTATCCACGGAGAATTTGTTCCGCAGCTCCATCATCTGTTCAGTGATAATGAACGATTTGCCCTGGAAGCCTTCCCCATAGTGTTTTAGTTCTTGTCCAATATATGGCAATTCGACTTGGTCACCCACATCTTTTCCAAGTGTGGCTTTAAATTTATCACGCGATTCTGGCTTGTATCATTGGGCAATTCGATCAAAGTAGAATGCAAGGCTATTGGACCATCGGATGAAAACCTTTCGAGGGGTATCGGGCTCATGTCCGTGAGGTCGTTTCTGAGCTAAAATGAGGGTGTAATAAGGTTATTGGTTTGAAAATTGACGTTTAAAAAATAGCAGTGGGAGTCTGAGAATGTGCACGGATCGTGGGGGCGACTTTTTAAATTCTTTTATAGAGATGAGATCCAAAGTCGCCCCCAGTCAAATGTTTTAGCCGTGATACATCTCAAAATAAAGAATTGTGTTTACTAGATTTCTATGACAAGCCTTTTTATAGGATTAAGAACTATATTATTACTGTATACTGTGACAAAAGTTCTAAACTCTTTGAGCTCGTCGAAGCTGACATGAAGAAGATCTTTGTACTTGTCGACTAATCCAGTGTGGTTTTGTGCACCAGAGGAACCACACATGTAAACTATTATAAATCCAGTTACTGCGAACACCTGGATAAACATTGTGTCGAGTATGAAATCAAAGCGAGGATAAGTTGGATGACAATGACTTAGTACATGTCCATAGCCATGTATGAAAGAGGTCTTGCCTTGTTGGATTGTCCCATGACCCTTAAAGTCCAGTTTAATCTCCATTAGGTCCTTGCCGCAAAGGTTTGTTGCTCTGAGAACGATTGGCTTGGTTAAAGTCAAAAACCGGACCAACAGTGTCAACTTGAAATCATCACCTACCTCTCCAAGACTAACTTGCCTCAGAATATGCTCATGATGAGGTATGTTTGTAAATGCCTGAAAGAGTGCTTTCTGCGCTGGGAGGCACAAGACATAGTTCATGGCTCTGCCGTCCTTGTTGAGACGATAGATAAGCCCTAGGTCACGAAAATCCCATTCAAAATCATTACTCTGCGAGTTGTTGACAAGGAAGACTGTTGCAAGACTTTTAGCGAACTTCTTCTTCCATGTCTCGCTGCGAGTTCCGTAGTACGTCCAAACTATAACGTGAAACGTGCTTGTTCTCTTAGCTACATACGTATCAATGTCATTTTTTGTAAGTGCTCTTTCCTCAGTTGACCGAATGAAGAGCATAAACTCTCACAACACACGGTTTGTGAGGATATTCGATGACTTTGCCTGTGTGATTAGGAGGCCCTCCACTTTGGTTACCATGGATGTAGACAATTTGGAAGTCATCGCAGAGCTTTCCATCTCTAGTGACTGCAAACTTCTTGATAACCTTTCTCTTTTTGTTGTCATTACTATCCTTAACAATACTATTCATTTTTTTAGTATTTCTACCATTGTTTCCTTCGCCATCGCTCTTGTTGTTACCCCTCTCCTTATTGCTCTTTTTACCTATTCCCTACTTATCATTACTCCTCACGCTATCGGTTTTATTATCGTTCTTGTCATCATTCTCGTCATCATTCTCGCCACAGTCCTTGTCATCAGCAGGCTCTTCAGTCGTCATAGTTGCTTGGTGAACACCACCAAATGCAGCATCTAAATATTCCTCAATCTGGTTCTTGTTTATGACTTCGTCCCTCGTCGAAAATGCATTGTCAATGCATGCTGACTTCTCTGGGCTGCTATGTGTCGTAAACGAACTAATTAACACTTGGATGAACATGTAGCCCAATATGAAATCGAATCGTACATCTGAGCTTCCGTTTATCAGGATCCCTTTGCCATTATTCCTACTAGTTTCAAGCTTCTTAGGCGGTTTTCTTAATCGCTCGTATCCCGAGACGTTGAGAACAATGTCCTTCTTGTTTCCGCCTGCAAGATCTGTTGACTGGAATGTATAAATAGGCCCCCAAATAAGCTCCTGAAATAGGGCCTGTCGAAATTGGTCACCATTTAAATCATCTGAAGCAAGTGCAATACGAAGAGGTTCTGGCAATGGGACGATTTTGTATAAACCTAGTAACGCCTTTTGTGCAGCATAGTTAATGGGACAGTATTCCGCTCCTCTGTAAACCAGTCCTGAGCCTATGAATTCCCATTCAAAGGTCTCGGAATATGAGGGGTGACATTTAGGTAAGAACTTTTTTGTCAACAGCTGAATAATGTTTTCCTTCCATTCTCCTTTGAGCTTGTTGAAATAGCTCCATGCCACGCTAGCATAGTAATCGGGACAGTCCTGTTCATATTGTGCTAAAGTGGCATCCATTTGCTCTTTTGAGAGTTGTCTTGTTCCAATCAATTCAGCCATGCTGATCAAATCGTGCGGAACGCGGTTGGTGATCCTAATAACATTGTCCTTGCGCTTCCTGAGACTATCTCGAGTGCTTGGATGAAGATGGGCAAGTACAGCATCAAATAGCTTGTCGAATGTGAGTGGAGATAATGGTCCAACGTGGAAAAGGTAATTAGACAAGTTCCTGAGAATAATCCTCTCAAAGTTCCCATGCGCAGTCCCTGTAAATATTACACACGCTCCAGCATTGTGTGCCCCCCATGTATCAAGGGATCTCAAACAATATAAAAAAGCAAGCTTATTTGTTACTGAGGCTTTATCATCATCTGGAAACAAGGCTTCATGCCTATCAATAACGAAAAGAGCTTTCCGTTGACTTTGTTGGAGTAGGTTGCGTAAAATGTATCTAGCAGTTGAAACCACAAGGGATTTTGTTGTATCCTCAAAATCAATCATTTTTGCAATCTGCTCTACTGTTAGAATGTCTTTGTTGAGAGCTATAAAGCGCTGACATATAATGGTCGCTGCATCTTTCACTGTTTCACATCCCTGGAGATCCTTAGCGTCGGGGATATAG